CTTCAACATGTACAAAAGGGATGACTTAAATTTAACCCTTATAGTTACATTCCAATTTCAAATTATATATTTATATGTTTCATTTATTTTTGAATAAATTATGTCGGCCACATATTTATGGATAATCTTTGAATGCACCATCAGTTATTTTGGAACACTGTAATCTTTAATATATAATATATTGTATTAACACCTGAATGTGCATTATTTCATTGTTGTGTAAGTCAATGTGCCTTGTTCATTATTGTTAGTTATATTTGTTACTGGCCTGAAACTCCAGATCAAATTTATTTTGAAGTTGTATAAAATACAATAAAAAGGCGTGGTAAAAACTATAAATTCTTCTTAAGAAAAAAAAACATGATTCTTTAAGAGGTTATAAATGAGGACATCTTTTTTTATCTTGTGAAAAATACTATACTGTTTGCCTGTATATTATCCAAATATATTAAACACTAAATACATAAAATGAAAAAGGTCTGCATGTTTCAGGCCAGGTTATTAGAACAATGTAGTGCCATAGTAATTCAATGAAATTTTATTGATAATTTTATGAATAGAATTCTTATTTGTTGCTTTAGGAAATTACGTTAATAACGGTTTCTATTGATGAGTTAGGGTTTCTTTCTTGTTTTTAATTAGTCATAATATTTTGCCTCAGGTTACGGGAACACACGTCCTTGAAAGGTCCTGTACCATTTGTAAGAGTACAGCATATCTTTTTTTTGCAAAGACTTCATAGCAGCATGTTCACTTTTGTTGAATAATATGTAACATTATATATTTTGTTAAGTCTGAAAAGTAACATAATGAATTTGTCATGTGTGACTATGTAACATTATGTATTTTATCATGTCACTCTGTTATATCATATGTCATGTCAGACTATGTAACATATATTCTGTCATTTCAAACTATGTAACATATATTACGTTAAGTCAGACAATGTAGCATTATATATTTCTTCAAGTCAGACTATGTAACGTTACATTTTGTCAAGTCAGACTATGTAACATCATATATTTCTTCAAGTCATACTATGTTACATAACATATTATGTCAAGTCAGACCATGTAACATCATATATTTCTTCAGGTCATACTATGTTACATTACATGTTGTCAAGTAAAACTATGTAACATAACATATTATGTCAAGTCAGACTATGCAACATAATATATTTTGTCATGTTTGACTATGTAACATCACATATTTAGTCATGTCAGACAATGTAAGGTACTTTGTCATGTCAAATTATGTAACATTATATATTTTGTTATGTCACACTAATAACATTACATTTTGTTAAGTCAGACTTTGTAACATAAAATTATGTTACGTCATACTATGTAACATGATATTATGTTTAGTCAGACTATATAACATAATATATTTTGTCAAGTCACACCAGACTCAGTAACAACATAATTTTGTTATATTATGTAACGTATTTTGCCTATTCATATGAACATCATTATAATTTGTCAAATTTGTTTATTTTACATCATTCCAAGATTACACCTGTTAATCTAATGATGTAGATTCTAATATGAACACCTGCTGTATAAATTTCATTAAGTTATAATGTATTTGTTTTTTATCTTTTAATTGTTGTTTTATTGTTACCAGTATTCACTTCCTACTACCAAAATATATCTTATTTCACTATTTTTCTATTGTATTGTTCCAAATAAATACATTCTGAGTTATTATAATCATCTTATGTATTTCTCCAAATATTTACTTTAACAGCAGATATAACTCCAGTTTAATTAGAGCCCACTTTCTGGAAGTGTTTTTGCTAATAGTTTTAAAGCATATATTTAGCCATATATGTTCCATTGGCCTCTTTGGGGATGTATGATCAATTACACCCCCAAAAATTTATGCAACATGAAAAGTGACATATTGTACCAGAGCTTTTGCAATGCAAACACAAAAATTTATCTGTATTTGACTTTATTGTTAGTTAAAATCAAGCAGTATGAATCATTTCTTTCCATTTATTTTTTTCCAAAAATAACCTCAATTATTATCCCTTACATAAACATGATACATTAAATATTACACATCATAAACAACAAATAAAAATATACTATCAAATAAAATAATAAAATAAACTGTCAAAAATATATATCATATTTAGCACTGCTTACTATCTAACTACTGTCTTGTTTACTGTCTTGCTGTTTTAAAATCTATTGATTGATGTAATGAAAGGGAGTTGATAAAAATGCATGAAATATCACTTGCGCATCAAGAATTATTTAGATTATATATTTTTTTTAAAGATTTTACTTTCATTCCATACTATTGAAAGGAACAGCTTCGCCATTTTAGGGGGTTGATTTGGGTCTCTTGAATATATGCAAATAGCCTACAGAACTGCTAGATATGAATGAAAATCGCATAATTCCTTCAAAAATACCTGCCTTACAATTTCACGTTCTATTTCTATATATAGCAGAGTCTCAAAAAAGGATGAGCCATCTTTTTAATTTTCAAACACAGATAATTCTGGACACACATGGGTTTGAAGGCTCAAATTTCGACGGTTAGCTGTGAACACTATTACTGATTGGTTTAGCTAAAAAAATTTCCATTTCTGAGACTAAAGTACGATTGGACAAAAATGGCGAATAATATCTCTTGAAATTGTGCTCTTTAAGGTGGTAACTAAATATTTTTAGGAAAATATATATTTTTTAATGGTATAATGTTAATAATAATAATAATAAAGTTAATTCACAGCTGAATAAGGGCAATGCCATATTGTGTGCATTAAGGACTAATTTGCAAGGACAGCAGCTTTCTGTCATTCCAACTGTAGAACTACACAGTAATCAGAAGTTTGGGTTATTGTTTTGGAAAAATTATCCTCATTGCATACTGCATTTAGCTGAATAAGGTGCAGAAAAGTAGGATGACAACATGTCATATGAAATTACAACACAATACCTCGTTTAAAACCAAACTAAAATTAAAGCTCATCTTTCTTAGCACTGGAATCTTTAAAAGCCCAGAAACTTGTCTCCTTTTTTTCAACATCACGTAATCTTTTCACAAAGGCAGTAAAAGTTGAGATACAGTTTCCTATAAAATGATCTGATTTCTGTAAAATGGCAAGATCTACATGAGAACTAACGGGAGATGGCTGACGAACAAATTTGACCTGAAAAACAAAAAGTTTTTAATTTTACAGTTCAAATGGATAATAAATGTATCTTTTGCAGCTTAATTATACAAAATCTATTGATTTGTAGCAGCATGATTTTATTCAGGTTATGTAATAAAACTTCACTTTGAAAGGTTGGTTAATATTCCTAGGTTGCAGGTGTTATTTTATGAAGCACAGGTGTTACTAGTGAATAAGATCTTATTTTTCAGGTATATTAAATTGAAATGAAATAAATATTTAATGTTCTATTCCGTGTATCTGGTTGAGCTTATGAACATGGGCAACACCATGCAGTGTGTAATGAGGGGAATTTTGACAGGAAAGTGGCACTAGCCTACTCTTTTTTTCGATTTCCAACTAATATGCACAGTAGGTAGCACATGAAGCCTCTGTCATGCATCATTGACAGTGGGAAATTGGATTGAAAAATCTGAAATGAAATGAATGGAGTTTTACGTCCTACTTTTCTGCACCATGTGGGCTAATGAGGACGGACAACGCCATGCAGGGTGCAATGAGGGAAATTTTGCCTTGACGCAGCATTAGCCTGCTCTTTTTCAATTACCAACTGTCGAGGGATCTTTAACGTGCACAGCCTGTATACAGGCCTTGGTTTAAAGTCCAAACGACAAGATGCTTTTTCCATGTCAGTCCCTCTTTATCTTCAGATGATGGAGCAAGCATCTAACTCACTGAACCAAATTAATGACTTAAAGAAACAAGCATAGTCATTGAATTTTTACTTTATTTAGGGAAGTATGATTTTGGTGATGAGATGTGATTAATACAATGAAAAGTAACAGGCTTGCTAAACTTACATCTTTGATAACTTTAGACATATCTTCTATTAGATCTCTACTATCTGTGGCCACAAACACTGTTTTAGCTTTATATTTTACAACTAGTTCCTTGACATCATTAACAATAGTATTAACTGATGGATAACACATATCATAGGTAGGTTTACCTTTCTCTGATCTATATCCCATACATTGAGCTGATGCAAACATGGTTGGTGTATCTTTGATATGTTCACATGCTTTTTTCTAAAAATTATCAAAACATTAATTATATACAGCATTACATAGCTGTCAAAGTCCAATAAATGCATAACCTACGGGTGCCTTCAAGAGAATACAGATTTTGGTAGCTACATAGGTTGGAATTAGGCAAATTTGAATGTAAGATTTTGCCAGAGGAGTCTTCAATTTGAAATCTAGGATTTATTTTCATATTGTATTCTAATAGAAAATAAATAATAATTTGGATAATTTGGCCAGGTATGTCCATATGGTCATCAAAACATTTTTAACATTTAAACATGTACCCACTGACAAATTATCCTCACTATAGTGTCCACTACAAAAAAAATCAAAATTGATGAAAAACCATATTTATTACTTACAAAATCTAACCCTATTCTTAAATGTATACCAATAAAAGGTTTTTCTATTTTATCTCTTATTAAATCTTCTGCTTTATTATCAATATATTCTGACCATTTTAAATATTTTTGTATAAATAAATGCTGTTTTTTAACAGGAAAAGGGGCTGGAGCACCAACAAATGCCATAACAGGAAACAAACTTGGAGGATATCTAGATATAAAAAGAAATGTATTTTTAATGATTTCAATACTTGATCAACAGCTTAGACCTAGTTTTATTGTCAGTTAGTTAGCTTGACAAAATTGGCCCAGTGAAAAAAGTTGGAATTTACTTCACTTTCAGATGAACACTGAATTTCATTTTAATATCTGATAAAAATGTTTCTGACAAGGCTACTGATTTTTGTGCAATGTTTTGATCCAACTATTGGTAACTATTATTAACATTTGGTTAAAAATATCAGAATTTGAATCCAAAAGACTTTGGACAGATAAAATAAAGATCTTCTTCTAAGGATAAACACAACCATTTAGTTTGCAACTTTTCCATGACAGTTGCATTAGCCTACCCTTTTTATATTTTCTATAGTTGAGATCTTTGATAAATATAACCTCATGCACACCGGTTCTAAGTTTATTTCCTGATCAAAACACTGATTCTGCTATTTAATTTATTTATTCCCTGCTTCACTAACGATATTACTTAATAAAATTGTCAAGTCAATACTAACTTGTCTTTCCATCTTTGTATTTGATGAGCACTACTAGTATCATAATATAAAGGAGAAAATAACTCAGATTTATCAAAATCTACATCAAAATGATTCCAAAATGGACCAAACGGATTTCCTTCCTTAGCATTGCATTCATTTCCTTTAGGAGCACCATGTCTTTCACTGTAACAAAACACTGAAATATACATTCACAAATTAGAATGATTGTGTTTTTGAAAAACAAGTCAAGAAAAAAAATCCTTTTTCTCAGGAAATAACTTTTTCACCTGTGAGATAAACATACATATTAAAAAGTTATATAGTGAGGAAAAGATATTTGTCCACATTTAAGAGCAATTCAAAACATTAACACAAACAATCCAGTGTATTTTCAGGTAGGAATAGTAATTAAGAATATACAAATAGACTTGTTATACTGTATAAAATCAGTGCTTAAACAACAAAAAAATGCACATGTTCATGTATTGAATCACAAACGGAAGTGTGTAGTCTTTGCATACTAAGCAACATTTTACTGTCAGATAATAGCTCCAAACCTCTATGTAGTAAGAAATATTTTCCACAGACCCCAACTCACCTGTTCTCTCTCCTGGAGGCCAAACTGTCGGAGCTAATTTGTCCATAAAATCAGACATCAACACCACACGATGGTATTTCTGTAAGGGTTCTACTTTAAAATACTTATCAAATGGTATTTGATCCTGAAAATTTCAGATACGAAAAAATGGGGAATCACCATTTTGGTAAACTTTCATTGAAATGTGTGTCATCAGCAGCCCTTAGAAATAAACAAGTCATCAATAACCTTCAAGACTCAAATATGCTGCATGATAAGGAAAATGTGTATATCTTTACAAATGATTTGAAGCAACAAATTACCCTGAAGAAGTATTTAAATCACTCAGCAGACGATTCAACTCACAATAGTTGGTAAGGTTCCATAAAGAATATACTTACTGATGGCTTAGAAGAATCATATTCCACCCAATGTGGTAAAACTAATGTTCTGTTTAAAGCTTCAGCAAAAGCAACTGACCCTAGGAACTGATCAGCCTGATTACCAAATCTTCCTGATAAAACAAAACAAAATATCATATATCTACATAAACCACAAAACTTTATTTTTTAATTCATTTTTTACAGATTTCCCATTTCAACATGTAAACTTCCATACTAATAATAAATTTTATCTAAATCTTTTAGAGAAACCAATTCTATCATCACTTTCCACATCAATGTTTGATTTAGATTCCTTTAACATGTACGAGATCCATTGCAATATTCAGATTAGAAATATTAAAACAGAACCTAAAAAAACACTATGCAATCTTCAGACAAATGACCAAAATCAAAAGGGATCATTTTACTTTGGAACAAATCAGATCTTAAATATATCATCAAAAAATGTAGAGTAAGCAACAGTAACTTGAGCTAATTTTCAATAGACAGATGTATAAGTTGTACTAAAGTCCATACTATTTGTGGGTAAGTTTAAGCTCTTAAACAGTGTAAAGAAATACCACATGCCCTTGCTGATCATTGACAAAGGGATTAAAGATTTTCATACTATTCTTACCCATACATGGACAATATAGTATATAACCATTAGGATCTACTTCAATATCATCATTATTTGTATCAGCCAAAATGTAGGTTGAGAGGTATAAAATTTTGATTATCCAAATCATCATGATAATACACTTACACTGGAAAATAAAATATTGCTGTATAAAACTTTAGGTTGTAGAGCTCCTTAATATATTTAACATTATTTATTTGAACCTGTCATTACAAACCAGGATATCATTGTTACAAGTTAAAGGGATATTAAAAAGACTTTTTCTGAACTGTTCTTGTGTATGGGAGACACTGATAGAATTGATGTTTGCACCAATCCAATCCATTGTCTGTGAATCTGAACTATATCAATTTTTATCATGTATTTTATCTCATAATCCCTTGGACATAATTTAATAATCTTTAATTTCAGAAACACAGACAGTTGACTGAAAATCAGAATGATGTAAAAAGGCCCATAAATGGCCCATATACATTAAATAATGTGAATTTATTTTCAGTCATTGTGACTGAAGATTAACTTTTCTTTTCTTCCTGATTGAACTCTATTTTAAGTTGTTCTTCTACCTGGCTATCCCATATTCTATACATGTGTTTTGAGTTATTGTTTTGATTGATTAAGACTATGTTACATTATTTTCATATGAGTCTACCTAGATTCCTTGAATTTTGTTATAAAAAATAATTTTCTCTAATTAAAGCTTTTTGATATGAAATCAGTTGTAGAGCATTAAAGTTTAAGCTTATAGCTCAAGATCAGTTGGATTTTGATTTTGAAATGAATGGTTTTAAAGAGATAGCCCTTGATCTAGCAAAAGATCGACTCTAAAGCAGAAAAATCAAACACAAAAAAACAATAACATATGATTAAAAATGAGCACTCCAAAAACATACCCCAAAAACCTAGTCTATTCTATACAAATTACTTGCTTCCACAACAATATAATAGCTACATATGAAGTGAGTACACAGAAACATCTGATTAAAACCAAGTCGTTTAATTTCTCGAATTGATTTATGTTCAGCTTTTTTGCCATAAAATTTCATTGATTTTAGTTGGAAAATTCATCATCATGAATAAAGTTCTCTTACAATGAAACGTGTCATTTTGAAATTTGAAAGGACCTTTTTGAGATAAGCTTGTAATGGGCTAATACTTGGCTTTTTCTTTATAGTATTTTGACTAAAAAACAAAACATGATGTGTATCAGCCCTTACACTCAGAAAATCATGTATATAATAGGCCCTATAACTTTTGAATTTCAACGTTCATGTGAAAGTCAATCATGGACGTCTCCCCCCCCCCCCCCCCCTCAAGGAAAGTTTTAAAACAAGAACACAGAGAGTGTAGTTCTGACGATTCCGAGGCTCTAGGACCCCCATCAAAATGACGGTAATGACCACCTAAGAATTTTTATAAAATGCTTCAAAACGATTGTGGACTGCCACATTTGAAAATCATCATCTGTGGTTAAGATCCAGCTCAGTGAATGCATTTTTCCATGATTCAAAGCATTTGAAATTGAAACAGGGTGTAGTTTTTAAGACCTTACAACTATCAAAATAAGTAGAGAGAGGCTACAGATGTTTCAGTATTGGACGAAATGTGATTACCGGTTTATTTTATTTACTGGCAAATATGTGGTACCGTTCAGTAGGCTACCGTATTCGTAATGATTTTGAAAATAAGAAATCAATGTCATCTGAAATGTCTTGACCTACCTGATCATCTAAACGGGTGTATATGTAAAGGGGAAAGATACAAAGACTATTGACATAAGGTGGGCATCGTTTTGATGTGGATAACGTTCCAAACTATGGTTGGCTGAAAAAAAGTTCTCTTTATTTACTGTTTACATGTAGAGAAAGGGAGATAACTAGAGATAAGTTTGGTGTCTTTAATTTCCAGTGCATCAAAGGCTACAATAAACCAAAGTATCGTTTTAATTTTTAATTCTACTTTCCAGAAAATTTAAGAGGGGTGTTACAAACTGACGAAAGTTTATGAAGAAATCAAATCAGTGAGAAGGATAACCATTACAGAATAAACTACAGTACAAAAATCAAAATACGTAATGATGTTCTTCAGAAATATATTTGTAGCCTGTAGTCATAGATTGAAGGATAGGTTGTAGTTGCCTCCCCTTAGCTATGATATCTATGACAATACCATAGTATCACTTTATGCACAAAGCACATTGAACGTAGTCAGACTAGTATTACCCCCATTCCTTTAATTATTTCTAGTCGGGCTGATTATAATAGTGATGCCCACCAAGTTATAGCCTACGGTAGGCCGACTATACGCCAAACCATTTTAGCTAGGCCCTAAACCTATTAGAGTGCCATCTTAAAAGATATGAGAAAACACCTGCCAGCCATGATTAAGCTCGATCTATGGGAACGACTCGTCTTTTGGATATGCCCTCATGACAAATTGGGTTCCAGTTTCATTAATGATGTTGGTTTTTTTTTGCTGCTTTCCATTCATATCCAACTCAATTCAATGATATATAATTTTCTCTAATTTTCTAGAACACTTTCAATGTTATGGGCTTTATTAACTTATAAATTCTCACAATTCTCATACAAAAATAATATTTCGGTGAAGTAAGTTCTTGAATAAGGCATACCATTCAAGTCTAAAAACACGACACCTTTTCTATCTAAGGAGTCGATACACCACTTTCTTCCGAATTTTATATTTCAGGAGATTCGGGTTCTTCAAATGTTGGCACAGATTTCAGTCTCGAGTCTCCTTCTAGGGTCTTGGCATAAAGCAAACTTGTGGTATCGGGAGCTTTAAGAACGCGACTGATTTTGCGCGAACGAACTCTCTTGGCTTCCCAATTGTCTTCTGACACCTTTCTGGAGGGTAATCCTACAACTATATCCTGACTCTTGCCCATCAATGGTTGAGTACTGTCTAGCAATGCTTGTGATAAAAGAAAACTGGTTGCTTTGGAGGTATAAACACGACTGACTTTTCGACCTGGAAAGTTCATCGATTCCCAATTATTGTCACTCCTATTGCTCTCACTTGATGGGAGATATTTCTTGTTCTGGAACATTTTAACAGCTTCGGAAAGTTTGTTTTGAATTTCATGTCTTTCTGTGGACCCCGTAGTATCTTTAAACTCGTCACGACTTTCAGAAATTCTGTGTCTGAAATAAACCACAAGAAATCAGTCATCAATGGCTAGGCTATGTCTATAGCAATCACAATTAAAGCTCTTGGGCTTCTCATATCTTTATTTCCTCAATGAACTCTTTGCATTTATATCTTTAATAACATCATCAAGCTATGGTCATCTTTTATCTAAAAATAGTAATTTAGCTTTTGGTGGATTATTTGGATTCAGTTTGCAGTTAAGAAGTCCATCGTTTTCAACCTTCGAACTTCTTATTAAAAATGGAAGAACTTGCACAGACAGAAAATGATTTGAAAAAAAATGGATTAATATATTATACTTACTGTCGTACAATATCATGATAATGATCTCTTGAATATTTTGGCTTTATTGAAAGGGGTTCGTCCGCATTATTTAATTTCCTAATAACATAACATATTATATCATATATATCACAAAATAACGAAATATATAAGATGATTAACAGCAAGCTTTCAGCAGGTATCATTCTTGATTGATCTTCGGAGGCTACCAAAGTAGTCACATATTGCACCTTCAACTACCAATTCCGAAAACAAATAAGTATAGAGTCAACAGCATTTATACGGGTTACGTAATCTCTCTTACAAAAAGGACATTCAATTCTGTAGCATTCTGTAGTCCAAATCATAAGCAAAGTTTCATTTTACAGAGAGTTCATCTGACCTACGCCAAAATCTTCTCAACTGCATATATGGTTTGGTCAGCTATCTTTCAATTCTATAAAACAATGTTAAATCGGTAACAAGCAAATAATTATTATTGATTAACAGAAATAGATATATCATACCAAATCACCAATGATGTGAAAAACAGCTAATTGTCCAGGTACAATGGAAGTTGTGTGTGCATATCAAACGTATCAAATGTCATAAACTTATGCATACAAATTTTGCTTACGTGTTGAGATTCTTACACGGAACGGTTCAAGTATCAAATATTTGCAAAGACCTGCATTATGCAACAATCAACCTATATACTAAACTATGTTATGCATATGAAGTCTATTTATCAATAAATTTTAATAACAAAGCCATTTAAATAAAAAAACAAATGTTGTCAATAAGGCGTGGAAATCACTGATTTAAACACTAAAATAAAGTCTGATATTTTGGGTATTTTATTTGATCACATCAAGGCGTTGAATATTATACAAACTATATACCTGTGTTTTTTGTTTTGATGCATCTTTCCGAACATAAGCGATATACCTCCTTCCATATATACTTCCAAAACACACTATAAACCTTTAATAACCTAAGGTAAAGGTAATTGGTGTTTGTAAGGTATACGGGTATGAATAACATTGTTATAATCTTCAATATAACGCTTATAATTCAATTGACTATTCTCATAAAACCAGTACTGATAGTAATATATTCTTTTATTAATGATATTGTGAGGAAAATAAACCGACAAGAAGTCAAACCAACTGGTGTGAAATACCTGTCACAAACGTTGTTATAGGTTTTCAGGCCCTTTTCTCAGTGTTATGTGTACAGTGTTTATGTCATATATAGTCAGAATGGTCATATATTATTTCTTATTTTAAGATAAAACCAGATTTGAATTTATCAAACCAAACTTAATTTTCCACGAAACCATTCACGAATCCTTTATCAAAGCAAAGTTAATTGCAAATCTTTATACCCAGTCATAAAAGATGTGAAATAAATGTGTGTGGTTTTTAACGTTGCACGTGTGATTTAAATATCACTCTTTAGAAATGTATAGAAGTAGAATAGCATTATTATATTTCTATTTAAATTATAGATTTGAACGAAATATCTAGAATTGGGCGAACTATTTTTAGCTACGTAAGGGAAATGGAGCGCGTGGCATATTAAACAAGCCCTAAAACCAGTAGATAACCCATTGAGTCATTTCTTTCAATTTGAAACTGAATATCAAATTTACATGTAATATAAGTGTGTTTAGTGATATTTTATCATGCAATCTTTTCCGTACAAACACATGATTATCTTTAAGATACCGTATCCATACTATTTTTTACTTGCAAACCTGGTTGAGAATTTATGGTTCTGCATTATTAAAGATGGAGGGAAAACAAGAGTTACCCAACTCTAGCGGTTTGAATGCTGCAGAGTGACGGCGTCAACCTCCCGAGACAAATAGGGACAGACTGACAAAATATGGAGACTTACTGTCAAACAGACTGAAATTCAAAATATGGCAATTCTGTAGGGGCGTCTTACCTTCTAATATGGAGCATTCTAACACATATTTTTGGGCCAAAATGTATAAAAATAATATTTCTAAAACAAAGTTGGGGTACAATTGTGGGCGATAAAAATTTTTTCTAGAGTGGCAAATGCCCCTCCCGTACCACCCTCTACCCCCAATGGCGCCGCCACTGATGCCACCATCAGGGCTGAGGGGATATTAATATTTTACTGAATACTATACAGAAACCATCTTCTCAATGTCAAACAATTACAAACTACCGCCAAATAGTTATATAAATTCATTCCGAATACAAAACATAATATGAAGTCAATCAGAGCCCTCGACAAATTACACGTACAGCTGTAGGCTACAGTCCTACTGTCGAGAGCTAGATCATAAATTCCTATCAAATCGCTACATCTAGAAACCTCCGTGATGCAATGCCTTATAATTTCAAGGTATTAGATCCTAATGTGTATATTATGTGTGTGTAGGTCCACTTATTCTATATTTGTACTTTTGAATAAATCTATTTTACAGTCTATAACGTTTCAACAATTAACATTTTAGTGTGAGGCCCTCGTTAATAATAAGAGATAAGTTCTTCAAATTTAAATCGACAATATAAGATCTCCTCCTTTGAAAAGGTTAATACTTATTGCTAAATTGGAAATTAATAGTGGTTTGAGGAGGAATTACTCCCCTTAGTTTTTTGATTACATTGGAGACGCTGTCGTGCAAATAGAGAATTGCGGGCGCCATGTTTGAAAAGAAAACAAATCGACGCGTTTGCTGGTTGAGAAATGGAGGTAGGCCTATATAAATATTTTTTTGTTTTGGGTTTGGAGGCCCCATTTTCGCTTAAGGCTAGACTACAACACAATATATTTAATGAATATTGAGTACCAAGAGTGTTAGATTTTCATTCGATTCACGAATATTTGAAATAGAATAGAATAGCCTAGATTTTGCAAATGGAAAACTTCAATCTTACTGTATGACGATATAGATTTACTGTGTTTGTAAAAGAGAATTTTGTCTCAAATTTTTCTAAAATGACCCTACAAGACTGAATATTTGGTAGAATCAAATTTCTAAATAATAATATTTTCCTTGATTGTCATTTTCAAGACTCTTAGTTGTAAGTTAGGGCTAACCTTACAATTCATACAAAATCAATTGGCAAAATTAAACTTTTAGACTTCTTCAGTCGCTGATTATACTAACTGTATAGATAAGATTCTGTTTCAAAATATATGAATTCTTAGCATAATGATGTAAGTAAAGTATTCAAATACCCGTTTTGCCCATTGGTAAGATATGACCTGCGTGCATTAGTTAGATTTTTAACGCGTGTACTAGTTAAGACTTTCACACGTGCAATGTTCAGACTTGAGGCGCTTGCACAGGTTCGCCTTGAAGCTCTTGCATCGGTTGGATTTGGTGCAGAGTCACTAGGTAAACCTGGCGCAAGGGCACTGGAAATACATAGCGCCCATACATTGGTTAAATTTTGCGCAAGGGCACTGAGTGAACTATTGAAATATTGGTTAATCTTGGCGCCCGTCCTTTGGTTCGATTTGACGCTAGTGCACCCTCTGGTTAGACTTTACGCATGTGTACAATGGTAAGAATTGATGCCCTTGCATTATAAGACTTTACGCCGGTGTGTTGCTAACGCTTGACGCCCGTGCATTGGTTAGTATTGATGCCCGTGCATTGGTTAGACTTAACATTTTTTGACTTTACGCTAGTGCAATGGCTATTATAGGCATATAACTGTACATACTTGATTCTCTTCAGGTAAACATAAAATATTTCAAGATTTCTGGAATACTTGTAGAGATGAGATGATGCGTCGAAATATATCAAGTCTTAACATAATGAAAGAAGTAAAACATTCAAATACCTTTCAATCACATTACCAGCGGTGCGCTTTTTTGTGCATTGGTAAGATGTGGCCTGTGCGCATTGATTAGCTATTTTGCACGTGCATTGGTTAGACTTGATGCACGTGCATTGGTTAGACTTGATGCACGTGCAATGTCCAGACTTGACGTAAACGCAATAGTAAGACTTGACGCACATGCATTGGGTTAACTTGATGTGCGTGTGTTGGTTAGACTTGTCTCGCATACATTGGTTATATCTGAAGCTTGTGTGTCAAGTCGCACGAGCGTTAAGTCTAACCAATGCACGGGTGTCAAGTCTACCCAGTGCACGCATACCAAGTCTATCCAATGCACGCACCAAGAAGTCTACTTAGTTAACGAGCATGAATTTTAAACGAGCCTCAATTCTTACCAATGTACGTGCGCAAAGTTTACCCAGTGCACGAGCGTCAAGTCTAAGCAATACACGTGTGCCAAATCTAACCAATGCACACGCCCCATGTCTACCCAATGCACGAGCGCCAAGTCCAACCAATGCACATGTACTGGGTACACTTGGTATTCGTACACTTTGAAAACTTGACGCACGTGCACTGGGCAGACTTGACGCCAATATACATGGCGCACGTGCATCAGTCAAGTAGACTAGGGAAACTTTAACTGGCGTGCAACTTTACGCTAGTGCACTGGCTTTGCATATAACTATACATATCGCGTTCTTTTTAGTTACAAATTAAATATTTAGGCTATTTCAAGTTGCTGATTATACGATATGTAGATGTATGGTTTGGCTTGACGCTCCTGTATTGGGGAGATGATAAGCGAGTGCATTGGTAAAACTTGGCGCACGTGCATTGCTTAGATTTGACGCTCGTGCACTGGGTAGACTTGTCGTGAGTCCTTTTTTTTCACTTTACTTAGTTCAATGACTTGGCTAGGCTTATAATATAACTGTACATAATGGTTTCTTTTCAGGTACAGATTAAACATGTAGACATGAGATACTGTATAGAAATATATATAGTCTAAGCATAATGATGTAAGTAAAACATTCACATGTCTTTCAATCGTTTTTTTTTCGTTTTTTGCCCAATAGTAAGAAATGACTTGCATGCATTTGTTAGATTTTAGCACGTGCATTGGTTAGACTTGACACCTGTGTGTTGGTTAGACTTGCACGTGCTTTTATTGTACTGGACGCTCGTACATTGGGTAGACTTTGTGCGCGTGCACTGAGTAGACTTTACGATGTACACTGGTTAGCGTTGACGCCCCTGCTTTGGCTACACTTTGCACATGCATTGGTTGGACATGAACTGGCTAAACCTGACGCGTGTGCAATTGGTAGATTTGACACCCGTACATTGGTTACACTTGGTGCACGTGCATTTGTTAAACTTGATGCTCGTTCACTGGGTAGACTTGGCGCGCGTGCACTGGGTAGACTTGACGGCCGTGCAAATGTTTAACAATACACAACACTATCGCACCAACTGTTACTCATATCTAAGGACAATAGCTAAGAACCACAGATGTTTAAATGAAAATTGAAAATCGATGCTTTCCATGTCCCAACATTCATAATTTACAAAACCTCTCTACAAGACATTTAACGATGTCATCTTGACTGGACGCATATTCACTAAATATCAGACTACGAACTTAAGACGACTTTTGCAGCACATTGACATTGTAAAGACATTACTTAGCGTTTCCGACCTACTTCACTGATACTGATTGTACTCGGCGAAAAAATAATAACTAGTTTACTATAAAATATTGTTACTGAATAAAATATCTACCACATAATTCTTCATATTGATTTCTATTTCTAACGTACAAACTGTATATTTAGATTAGCAAGTAAAAAAAATATTCGTCGGAAAAAGAGATACAGGTTATGTAAGGCAGCACCTACATAGACTTCGAGAGTGGTTTTGATCATCAATGGTAACCAATTTAATACATACGTAAGATAGTAGACAATTTTACTTAGGTTCATTCACGTCGAATCGGAAAAACTTATTTTGACAAAATTTTGTGTCAGAAACAATTGATTACACTTTGTGAACATAGTTTCATATTGAACTCTACATTCATATGGTCTCTTGGGATCATTAATGTCAATATGCCTATAACATATTTGTTGTTTCTTCACCAGCTTCGTGAAATTCACCGTTCATTACAATCAATTCTGTTTCTTTCTTAGTTAATTCATCACCTGGTAAGATGCCTTTTTGGAACTTCTTCAAGAACCCCAATATCAAACCAGAAAATGAAGCTAGCAGGAATAAACAGCCTGAAAAGACACACCAGGTTGCAGATAATTAACGATTTGGTTTTTGAATTCCTCAGCACTGTGAAACGTCCATTTAGAAGTTGAAATTCATACTTAAAAATTCATCTCAAGTCATCTGAAATCCGTTGGCTTTGGGGACCTCTGGCAGTCCCCAGAACCTCGGCCTCAAGGGGATTCGACCCTTGGGAAATCGCCTCGGAGAGACACCTTTCATTTTGTGGGAAATAGAGACAGAGCTATATTGTTGATTAGTCAGGTTGCTGATATATGATCATATAACTATTCCTCCAAGTAACGTTACTATGGAATACTTACCTGCAAATATAAATGCATAGTCTAAATTGTTGAAATGTGTTATGATCAGTTCTGAAAAAAGAAAGACAACTTCTCTGGTCAGATTGTCTTATATTATACATGGTTGAATTACTTGACTTTCCAAATTGTATTTGGTCGTGGAATTTTCTTTTTATATATAGCGCTCATTATCTGACTGTGAGATGATGATGTCCTGGGCTACTTCACATCCATTCACATTCACAAAAAAGACACGAGTAATAAAAGAAATTGTAATATGTACCTGCTAATGGTGGACCTATTAATAAACCAATTCCGGAAAACAATAAAGTTATACCATAACATGTAGATAAGTGCGTTATTCCAACAATATCTATCAGTAATGTGTGCTGTAATGACCAACAGCCTCCACTATATATACCTAGTAATGCCGAATAACCTATCTGAGCAGAGAAATTTGTCATAGTAAAAAGTAATACTGTAATGGTACCAATGATTCCAAATACTCCACTGAACACAATGGTCACATCAACGGAAGAAGCTAGAAATCCAAGAAGAACCCGAGAAATGGTTCCTGTTATTCCCGCAACTGACAAAATGAGAGCTGAATTTCGTTTGGAAGTCCCGTGATAAGAATTAAACATTGGTAAATATAAATATACAGTTGATAAAGCCATACAGAAACACGCAGAACTAAACAGAAATATCCAAAATCGCACACTTTTCATATGATACATTGCAGATACTTTTGTTGTTTCTTTATAAGTTGAGTTTAACATTTGACTAGATCTATAAGATTGTTTACCACATTGAAAAGATTTATTTTCATATTCAGATGGTCTCATAACAGCTCCACAAGCAGCTGCATGGAATCCTATTGCACCCAGTATCAAAAAGGCACCGTTTAGACCATATGTATCTACCAATAGTTGTGTTAGTGGTGGAAAAACAAATAAAGAAAGACCACTTGAACTGGTCACTATTCCTGTCGCCATACTCGATTTCTCTTTAAAATGGTAACCGGTTACGACCATGGATGCTGTGTAACATAATGCTTGTCCAATACCTGCAACAGAAAATGACCATATCGATATCATAATCACGAATACGACCAATTCTCAAAATTAGGACGTGTCTGAATTTGTATTCAAGATTGTAATATATGTGTGAATTGAAGGGATGTTGATCGTTTTCGATTTTTTTGTCAGTTTTATCTGTTCCGATTCTTGAAAACCGCGCTCTTATCAAATAGAATTATCCGACTTGTAAGGATGATGTTCACTGGATCTGGGTATATAATCACTTCAATATAACATGTTTACCGGCAATAAAACTGTAAGTTATAAACAATATATTGATATCTGTCACTACACCACTTACAGCAAAACCAATTAAATTCAAAAAGGCACTGCATATTATACATATCCTGACGTTAAAGGTATTTATCAATAAACTGCCCAATAGACCTGAAAATAAAAAATAAATTGATCTTGAAAAATCAAAGATTCGTTACCATCTAGGTCAAGGCAAGATGGCGGGAGCTCGTAGCCTACTACCCTTGATATATTCTATTCTTTTTTTGCAAATTGTAGCCTTTTAAAAAAAAATTGTTTTAAGCCACGAGTTCGTATGCACAACCAAGCGATTGGCCTATTATCATATGCATAACGAATTAGATATGCATCTTACGTTAAGAATAAAACTAGATTGTAGTATACGGCGATATTATATAGCATACATTGTATTTAATTATACAAATATTACATACCCGTTAAACCAGTCATACTCGTAAACAGAGATCCCAGCCATGCTACTTTATTTTCTCCTTCCTCTGAATACCTCTCCATTAAAGCTAAATGAAGTACGCCGGTTGATAAATAGAGTGACCCATTTGAAAACATTGCTAGAAAAGCTGCCACCAGCACAACCCAAGACCATGGCTCTGTCTTCGACATCAAACTATGGAATGATCTACAATCTGAAATAATGAAGGTAAACCCTCAATAGCTTATTGTAGGCTGGTCACACTTCAATACAGTGGTTGCATTGTTCGGGTTTGCTTTGGTTTCGATCAAATTCAAAATGGGTAACATACAATTATCTTTCTTAAAAAGCCTAAAAAGGTAAATTAATCTCTTAAAATCAGGGCTTTAAGATATAGGGGACGATGAGAGTCCAACAAAATTCCACTAAGACTAATTAGTGTTTAGTCTGATTGAAAATTGGATGATGCAACTTGATACTATCAGTGTCCCCAATACACATAGAAAACCTCTTTACAATCCTTTAACGGAAGGCTTTCTTTATTTAAAACCTTCAGATGTAAAGGGACACATTTCTCTAGCACCTGGTATAGGCCTATTATAGTCTTCATAAATTTGAATAAAAAAAAAACAACTTACTTAAAAAATCAGACAGCGACACCAGTTCCCATATAGTTATATATATAGTTATAGTAATATATATGTAAATCTCAAAGAGACTCGAAGTAAGTGTTAATTTTTGGTTTATTTGTCGGTAAATGTTTTCTCTCTTATTACCACAAAATCACTACAGAGTAGAGATTCAACGGCACTTGACCTAAACGTATTGTGTTTACTGGACACCGATTGATTGTCATTAACATTACCAAAGTAAATACCATTTTATATTCTTACTAAGTATGAGGTATCAATAGGTCATTCTGAAATGACATGTGAATGTTGAATTATACATAATGATAGTTAACTACACACCTATCACACATTAACACTAACAGTAAATGAACTGTACACAAGCAAAATTATCTATTGAATTCACGATAACTTAACTTTTCATATACCACAAAAACTACTGACTGAATAGTATAATTTTATGATGTAAATAGATATATCAGTATTATGTTGGTTATTGTCGCTGATTTAATTGATTGCACGTCTGCAAAAAAAAAACTTAAAGGGGTATAGCCCCCTTATATTTTCTTTTGAAAAATGAAATAAAATTGGCATTGGGGCTACTTTTCTGTGTCTGATTCGGCTAATGCAGACGACAAAAGCCATGCAGTGAGAAATGAGGGAAAGTTTGAATTTTTTAGGGGGAGTCAAATATTTCTTATGGGGGTTCTCCCCCCCCCCCCTTTTTTTTTAGCTACGGGCTTGCCTCGATCTCAATTGCATGCCCCATACTAGGGTTGATGTCTGTGAAATTATGTTTATGTTTTATTCGAACTTAACTGAATTTCGCAATTATTATTAATCCGAAATTTAAAGAAAATATATTGATTAACTATTCAGGTCAATTTGTAGGACCTACTTAATGGAAATAAGACAATCCGTTAGCTTACTTATATATAGAGATTATAGGGGTATGATTACATGCTTGCCATAGTTACCCGAAGCTGGATGTAAGAACGACAAGTAGTATAGGCCATTGGTTTTCAACCTGTCTATAACCTCTTTCAGGATCTTTGATCGATTGCATTACCCTATAAATTCCTAGCTTATCGTGGTTTTCGATTTTCCTTTCAATCTTTGTCATGTCGGAGAACCTAATTGAATAGAAAAACTTATAATATAATTGTCGATTTCCCAGTGGTTTAAATATTCATAAATCCAAGTTGATTCATACAGAGATGATTGCCAAAATTAGATTTAATAGGCTAACAATTGTTGTCAGAGAGAAAAGGCTACTCTACGACAGTCACTAACCCACGTACTTTCGCTTTGTGGTAGAATTGCGAGTTTAATCTGTCTTCATGCTTTTTATCGTCAAACTTACAGACAATATGTTTATAGATATACAATCAGAGTGTATGTATGTATCAGCAGGTGTACACGCATAAACCATGTTTATCGAGCGTGTTTAAGTAGAAAGGGGTGCAACCCCAATTATTTCTGGTATGGATTCAGACCACTAAATATTTTTGCACTCGTGCACACACCCGTATATAGAGGTAGGCCAACTTGTGAACTCACCGCATTGCGCTGTGATTGGCGCAGAGCGGTCACTTTTGATAGAATTTCGCCGTGCTGTTACCCATGTGAGACGTGTAGGTCTTAGCGTTTATTCCAACTGTTTTAAGTCGTATTTTTGTCGTTTTTTCGTTCGACGGAACAGATAGACATTGGTGCCGACAATTTACTACCGCAGAGAATGTGATCGTATTAAAATGACTGAAAAAGTTATAAGGTTTGCATGGCTTGACGGTCGTAATGGAACTCTGAGGGTAACAAGATGGTAACAGACTTTCTCTATATACGGCTCTGCTCTTGCATGCCTATTTGGTCTTTGATTTGGATTTTGATGTCTAAACAAAATTATGACCTAAAACGTTGGAAGAGATTGAAATCAAGATGGTGATGTCGGAAATCGGAAATAGGTCTACGTTTAACCGAACAATTCTATCAGGAATGGCTAGACGGCTCTACTGTAATAAGCCACTATTTATTTCTTGGTTACATGTTGTAGTGGGATTTTTAAGATAAAGCTATATCCTACCTGAACGTAGACTGTGAGATAATCCTACCCAATAATAGGCTGTTTTGGATCTATACGAAACAGCATTGTTATATTGTTACCAGACTTACATCACAGACATATCCGCCATAATTCGGAAACAAGGTACTGGAGATCAATAGAAATGTAAAGTAAATAGACAGTAAAACGATTGGCAGTTATTGGCAGAAAATCGTGTATTAATTGATGGATGATCTACATAGACTAAATTTTCAATGCATCATAATTCCTTAGGCTAAGCCACAAAAGTTAGTAAAAACCTATTTACAGTTGGGAATATTGTGTGATTTCGCTGATTCAAATATACACATACATCGAATTTTCTAGAACAATGTATATATACTGCCAATAGGCTATAAAATTAACATATTTATAACTACTAAAAATATTCAATCGATTTTGTCGGGCGTAGTGATATCAATGTCGTTTGAATATGTTCGTGTCTAGTAAATATTATATGAAATATAATAACGATACGTCGTATGAACTATGATGTTAGATTATATCTTAACGTAATTTCAATATTTGAGTTAAGTCGGATTTATATTACAATTTGATCTCTTCTCATATTGTTGACTAAATCACACCCTATTGTTATAGGCTACAACAACGTATTTCCAGACAAATAGATTACATATATAGCAATATACGGCTTTTACCACATTAGAGTCATCTAGGAAGGTGGGGTATACGGCATTGGTTATTTCACTCATTTATATATTGCTGCATGGTTGCTTAGTTTGATTATAATTGTATACTAAATTCTTGATGGTGGGGCTCTCCTTAGGGGTGGGATAGGATGGGGTGCGCGTGGATTTGGTTCAACTAGTCCCTATGGTAGTTGAGCCACTGATGGCCACTGTCTTTGATTATGGTACAATTCTCACTCATCAAATTATTGCCAAGTATCTCGTTGAGCTGTTTTGAAATTTTCTGACCATGCGCTAGATAATATGATACTACTGCAACGGTATATTGTATTATGACATGATCTATATCAATGTCATGTAGTTTGTCGTATTATGCGATGCAACGCATTCATAATAACTAGCAAGTTTTAAATTTAAGATATCTTAAATATGCTATTTACTTTTAACGGATTTTGACGAAATTGTTTTTCTAAGGATTTACCGCATTGAAAATGAAAAAATGAAAGATATTTATCTATAATTTGACGTTTATTTTGCTTCGATTCCTACATTATAGTCTTCTAACAGCAACCAAAAACTTGGCGACTTGAAATGGTTTAAACATTTTAATTGTTTATGCGTTTAAAAATTAACGGCGAGATACTTTTAATTAAAACTTTCCGATAAGCTTAGGGACATATTGCTGTAGATTTTGGTAGCCTACAAAGTTGTCATACATTTGAGCACCTTATATATTTTTTAAAAGTGAGACTGTCTCTTTTTAAGGATAAGTTATGTGCAAGATATATATTCAATACAATAAAATGACCATAGCTATTAATGCATCTAAACACCATATAGAATATTGCCCCTAAAGATATATCACATGCCCCTCCTAACAATCAAGTTGGCTGCGCAACTCTTCCACTGATTCCTGTCGACGTTCAGTCGAGATAATATGATTGTAGAGTGGAATGCTTTTAAAATAAGTTTATAAAACTATAGATTTTCCATTCCATCCATAGATATGAGGTTTGTAGAACGACTTACATAGTAACCCCATCAACAATGTACATGAGCCTATACAGTGTTCATCAGCATTTTAACAAACGTAATTTGTTTATCATAAAATCGGTTAATTTGATTAACTGCGTTGGAGGTATTGTATGGGGGTTTGTCATTAATTATGCATCGACGAGGGGAAAATTATTTTTTAACATTCAAATTTCGGGTCAAGGGAATAACAGCAAAATATCGCGTAGTTTAATAATGCGAGCAAGCAGAAGTCGTAGTTACTCTAAAGTATAGGAATCTTTCGTTAATTATATCTTTAAACTTATAATATAATCTGATCAAGTTAATGCTTTAATACTTACTTGTTTCTTATGGCATTCTTGAAGTTTGTACATAAAATAGAACAACTTGTGTAGAAATTATGCCAATGACCGATAAAAATATATCTATAAGATCTATATTTAGTTTGAGAACATATGTGACCTATATATAGTGTCAAACTAAAACAACGGAGGATGATATCTATTTTTGCGCGTACGAACCGATTCCTCAGAGTTTCCCATGTAGGTCGGCCATGCGTCGACCTTGACCGAATCTTTTGTACTTAAGGTTGAGAGTGAATCGACTCGAGTCAATGGTGTGTGACTATCGGCTTATGTACATGTATAACTGTATTACTATTGTTAATGTGATACCTATATTCGTATATCGTAATCAACTTGCATTTGTCTTATTGACCAACTACCTTCAACATTTATTTGTCAGTCAATGTGTTCGAATTAGTTGAGAATATACTAGAAATTGTTTACACCTCGCTATACAGACACAATTATTTATATGTATTTTCCACAGTATTGATCTACTGTTGATATTTTTAATACATGTAAGAGCACAGCATAACTATATACAGGTAAGCGGATTTTTCTTGTTTTACCTGGCTTTAGGGCAAAGAACTAAACCTTCATAATTAGTATAGGTCCTACGTTTTGATAATCTTTTTATTGTATTGAAGGAATAACCAAAAAATCAGACAATTTGTCTATAATATACGCATACACAATGCACTCTGGTTTTAGATTTAGTACAAGACAAAAAATGAAAGTTACCGAATATTTTCCAATGTGACTTTGTAGGACATAATTACATAAATGTCAAAATTATCTTGTAATAAACATATTAAAGGGAATGTTAGGAGGTTTGTTACATTTTATATATGTATCGGGTACACCGATAGCATCAATTTGCACCATTCCAATTTTCAATCAGACGTTAGTGGTTCCTGCAATTTCTCTAAAACTAGGTATTAGATGACGTCTCCAATCGCATATATGCTTAATCACACAAGGCCCTTCGCTATTAGTGATTTCATCAAACACTTAGTTTTAGTAGGATTGCAGGAACCACAGACGTCTGATCGAAAATTGGAATGGAGCAAATTGATACTCTGTGTGATCCCTTTAAACAAGAACTAAGATTATAAAGAAACTAACCCAAACAAGTTTAGTTTCATTGCTACCATGTATGGAATGTGACCTAAAGACTGTTACCTCCAATAGTACTTTAAGATTATGAAATCTTGGATAGTATTATTATATTTACAATAACACTTTGAGGTTTGAATGATATCGTCTGAATGTTAGATTTACCAGTTCACTCACCTGTCCTTGGATCTGATACAAATTGATTTACGCTAAATTTGAGCTATCTCTTTCAATTCTCATAATCAATAGCTGATGTCCGGTTATTTTGTGGATTGCAGGGCATATAAAGTCAATACTTGATCTGATTTCATAGTTAAAATAGATATCTGGAAATTAAAATGGGAAAATATAATTCTTGATGTTTTCTGTATTAAAATATAAGATAATTCTGAATTGTGTGTGTGTTCCAGAACAACCACCATCAACAGAAACAACCAAGATGACTAAAGTACAACCATGGGCTTGGGTTGTTTTGACAGCATCATTTTCTAGCATGTTCTTCAACTCTTCATTTTTTGCTGTTGGTGTAATTCATGTGGCACTGTTAGAAAAATATCCAGATGTAGAAGTATCTACCATTGCCTGGATTGGTTCAGTATTTTCCTGCATGTTTGCTTTATCAGGTACGTAGTTCAACCTATCACATACTGCTTTAATTCAGGGCTTTTCAACCTTAAAATTTGGGGAGTGGAAACAATTGCAATTTTAGTCGTTCTTTCAGCCAGACTTTATTCTATTCATAAGAGAAAATCACGAAATACTTAGGATGCAATCAAAGATCCTGAAAGGTGTAATATAAAAAAAGGTTGAAAACCACTGCGTTAAGTGACATACATTTTTTATTACATCGTATATCATTAGCTGAAACCTAAAATTTGACGAGATATCATCCTTGACAAGATATAGAATTACAGTTTTCTCTGGTCATTAATTATAAATACCATTTTTTCTTTTTAAAAGACTCAATGCTACGTTATCATTTCAAAGAACAATTCTAGTGGGAATTTGCACTGTTTTGAGTATAGACTATACCGTTATCTTTATAGTACCTTGGCAATATATCAATGACAATAAGTGCCAGTAGTATGTAGCCCTATATATCTGGAATGCACATTTATCAATGGCATGGCAGAAAGCAGAATTAGTTGTCTTGATATGTCGGTTATATTCTGAATATTGCTTGCAGAAGTAGAGTTGCTGTTCTGTTCCAAATATAGAACAAATTAATTAAGCAGATATACGGCATTTTGTCTCAGAATGAAATTATTCTAGTTATCTGAACTATGAGGGATACTAGAAGGTAAGAGTGCTATCCATTAGTGCATGCTATGTAGGGCCTAAACTCCATTTCACAACTCTGTACATAGTAGCTTTCTTCTGTGAATTTCAAATAGTAAATGTCGACTTCGAGATTTCAGATTGTGATGTATAGTTCTTTTGCACTTAAATTTCATATTAGGTGACCGTGATAGGTATGATTATACTTTCCTTTAAATACTTACAAGAATTTGATCACGACTGGAGTCTATCGGACATTGTCTTTTTTTTTTAAAAATCACCAAGATAGGATGTACTTGTTTATTGTCATTCTATTGGTTTAAATTACATACACGATACGGGGTAAAGGTCGGGGCAGGCAGTATAATTATCACCTGAGGTAAAAGTATATTGAAACTTTGACAATGTAAATATAATAGCATTTACGATGTATCAGCAGTGTCGAGTTACTAGCGAGAGAATGTGTTTGGAGCAGTGGTGGCTCAGAGAGTTAGATGCGTGCTATAGCTCGAAGGTCCAGGGTTCAGTCCCGACACAGTTCGAGATAATACTTCTTTCAACTCGCTTTTCCCTGACAGGAATGCAGATGGGAAGGTCTGACACACGGAGTTGTCTAGCCGATGGTCGGATGGGACAATAACCTAGGCGCCGTGTGCTACGGACTGTACAAGTTAAAGATATCTCGACAGAAACCGGAAAAGAGAAGGCTAACTTTCTCTCATTGTACGCTGCATGACCTTGCCCGAGTTTATTAGCCCAATTAGAAGCAGTAGGGTGTAAAGCTCTATCCATTTCATTTAACATCGCTTAACAGGATAAAAAAAAACTGGTCTAATAAAATAACAAATAAATTGTGGTTTAGTTATAGTTTTGTATATAATCATATAGAACCAGTATTTAAATCATACAAATATTGTGTAAACTGTTTTTACAACTTCCTTCTCCCGTCCTTTTCGAGTTGCATGTTACTCTAGAGTTTCAGTTTAAATAAAGCAGTAGAAAATAAACTATATAAATGTGCTTTTATAACGGCCATAAAATTAAGTATAGAACAGCCATAATAATCCATTATTGATTGCGGTGAACTTCAAGTTCTCGAGTTGTTTATGTACAATAGTACTCACTTTAATAAACAAGTATTTATTATATTGGTAGAATTTTCCCGGAAAAACTCTACGGTCGACATCATGGTAGCCTATTATTAATAAATATGAAGTACAACATGATACAACAAATATAAAAACTATTGTCATCCTAAATCATAAAGAGATTTGGTTTTCAAAAGATTCAAACTGACTAAAAGAATGCTGCAAGTGTACATATTTATGTTTTTTTTAGTTATGTGACCGATCGTTACTTCTCATAAATGAATCGAATGTCCTCTAGTTCCAGTCTGTCGAACTGAATAATTTATGCACGCATTCAAGGAGATAGATACATTCACTAAACATTTTTGTAAACATAAAATCGATATGATCTCGTTAATAATTTGCTTATCATATAGAGGAGATGAATATTCTTTTTAAAGCGAGATTTATTCCTCCAGATCACAAAAACAATCCGAATACTCTTTAATTAAATGATAACAGGTGAGCTTTGTGACATTAGCAGATTCATAGGCTTCATTTTCTCTGCACGAGTCATAACAATTTATAAATCAATATTTAGATCAAATTAAACTACATCATTTCTGCAAGTTACAACGGTTAGACTTACGGGTTATTTTTTGATTGTAGAAGGACTAGCTGAAGGGCAGTGCCAATGACGTTTGATCTTCATCGCCATCGGACCGTTAACTCGTATTTAAAGACTCAACCATCATTTGCACGTTTCAACCAAATATTTATCATATCAAACTCGGCACTTCTTTATGAAATTGATATCTATAAATTTACAGGTTTTCTTGGAAGTTTCATCATCAACATTTCCAATGTAAGAACTTGTGTTATGTTGAGTGGTTTATTAGCATTAGTTGGATTTGCTACCAGTAGTATTGTTACCGACCACAGGATTCTCTTCATCACCTACGGCATTATTGCAGGTATGTTTATTTCTTATTTCCTGTATAAATACAAAAGGTAATCACGGGGAGACAAACTGTCAGACTGACCAGCCTCTGTACATCATGGAAATAAACTCTGATGTTGATGGAACATAAACTTATATCTGTACATTGCGAAAACAGAATCTGTCAGATGGTGATGTAAAATACACTTATCTATGTACTTCTCGAGAACAGAATCTGTCAGATGTTGATGAAACATAAACTTATATCTGTACATTGCGAAAACAGAATCTGTCAGATGGTGATGTAAAATACTCTTATCTTCTCGAGAACAGAATATGCCAGATGTTGATGGAATATTAACTAATCTCTATACATCACGAGAGCAGAATCTGTCAGATGTTGATGAAACATAAACTTATATCTGTACATTGCGAAAACAGAATCTGTCAGATGGTGATGTAAGATACACTTATCTTCTCGAGAGCAGAATATGCCAGATGTTGATGGAATATTAACTAATCTCTATACATCACGAGAGCAGAATCTGTCAGATGTTGATGAAACATAAACTTATATCTGTACATTGCGAGAACAGAATCTGTCAGATGGTGATGTAAAATACACTTATCTTCTCGAGAGCAGAATATGCCAGATGTTGATGGAATATTAACTAATCTCTATACATCACGAGAGCAGAATCTGTCAGATGTTGATGGAATATTAACTCATCTCTATACATCCCGAGAACAGAATCTGTCAGATGTTGATAGAGTGTTAACTCATCTCTATACATCCCGAGAACAGAATCTGTCAGATGTTGATAGAATGTTAACTCATCTCTATACATCCCGAGAACAGAATCTGTCAGATGTTAATGGAATATTAACTCATCTCTATACATCATGAGAACAGAATCTGTCAGATGGTGATGTAAAATACACTTATCTTCTCGAGAGCAGAATATGCCAGATGTTGATGGAATATTAACTAATCTCTATACATCACGAGAGCAGAATCTGTCAGATGTTGATGGAATATTAACTCATCTCTATACATCCCGAGAACAGAATCTGTCAGATGTTAATGGAATATTAACTCATCTCTATACATCATGAGAACAGAATCTGTCAGATGGTGATGTAAAATACACTTATCTATGTATTTCTCGAGAACAGAATCTGTCAGATGTTAATGGAATATTAACTCATCTCTATACATCATGAGAACAGAATCTGTCAGATGGTGATGTAAAATAAAATTATCTATGTATTTCTCGAGAACAGAATCTGTCAGATGTTAATGGAATATTAACTCATCTCTATACATCATGAGAACAGAACCTGTCAGATGGTGATGTAAAATACACTTATCTATGTATTTCTCGAGAACAGAATCTGTCAGATGTTAATGGAATATTAACTGATCTCTATACATCACGAGAACAGAACCTGTCAGATGGTGATGTAAAATAAAATTATCTATGTATTTCTCGAGAACAGAATCTGTCAGATGTTAATGGAATATTAACTCAACTTTTGTGTTGAATTATGATTTTTCAGGAAGTGGGCCAGCCATGTCCATGGCAGGATCTTTGGTGGTTATAGGATATTATTTTGGTCCTAAAACAAGTATGGCAACGGGTATTGCTACGAGTGGTTGTGCTCTTTGTACCTTTATATTTCCTCCGCTTACTCAATATTGTGTGGATACGTATGGACTAGGTGGTGCTTTTCTCATTCTTGGTGGACTCGGATTTCAGTCAGCAGTTTGTGGGGCATTGATGAGGCCGACAAAATATGAAATTCGCTCAAAGAAAAAATCTAAATGTTGGTGTATGCGTCGCGAACAAAACTGTGATAAACGTGATCAAATCTTTGATAAAAATGATATGTACATTATTCGTGATAAAAGCTGTGATAATATTCGTGATAACAATAATGATTATTATACTGTACCGACAAAAAGTACTTCGACATCTCAACCAAAGATATTTGCATGTTTTTTAAAACGTAATGTGATCTTATTTACTTCTCCATCGTTTTGGTTATTGTTGATTTGCTCCTTTTCATTTCATGTTGCTCTTTCGTGTGTATACTTATATTTACCGGACTATCTCAACCATCAGGGATCTTCACATCAAGAGGCAGCCATCGTTCTTTCAATTACTGGTGTTACTGGAATTCTTTCGCGTATTTTACTTGGATTCCTTGCTTCAAATGTTGATGCATCGTTAGTTCTCGGTAGCACCTTGGGTATCATGGGTATTATCACTTTTTTTATAAAATATATGAAGACTATTGGCAGTAAAATAACGTATACAACCTTATTGGGTTTTTATACTGGTGGGTCCTGGGCATTGCAATATACACTACTAGTGGAGATCGTTGGTTTGTATCAACAGTCAACAGCGTATGGTGTTATGATGCATATTAGTGGTATTGGTTACATGGTTGGACCACCATTTGCTGGTAAGTGAACTAAAATATTATATGTACTAAACTACGTATGGTTATTACCTGGAAATAACACACACGAACGTAGTTCACAGCCATTTTGAATCCATACCTCAACTTAAGTCGAATTTTGATAAAGGTTATACTATTGCAACAAAACTTTAATTATTATTTGAAGGCTTTGTTGAAATAGTATTGCCTTGATTAAAATTCGACTGATTCAAAATGGTTGTCCACTATGTTCGTATGTGTTATTTTCAGATAAGAACCGTCGTAGTTTCGTATATGTAGAATATGAATCATCGTCCTGAAATATGTAATTTTTACATCAGAATATATTTGCAACAGCAACTCAATGCACTCCTGAGGAATTGTTCACACTGAGGCGACATGCCTGTATCGTTTCACTCTGCCATAGTTTGTAAAGCTGGCAACATCTCTTTCAATTATCGGTAATATTTGGTTTTTGTTTTGGCACTCAGTTGATATTTATTAATTTTACAGAAATGCTGGTGGTCTGGTTCCAAGATTATTATTGGGCGTTTGTATTCTCTGGTATGTAATCACGACATTTATTATTTTATATCATGCTCATCTTGATGTGTTTGGACCAAGGGTAATTTCGTCTGGCCATCCATTATCTGGGAGAGATTTAAGTCCAGTGTTGCTCTGGAACTATATTCATGATAGCATTACGATGTGGACAAATTATTGTAGTGTATATTTTTGGGGACTTAACTAACTTCCAAAATAAAGGCTTTATTGATATTGAAATTCTTTCCAGATGGGGATCATCAAAGCTTGATTACTCTAGTCCAGTAGTAGTCCATTCTAGATACCGGTCCATTGCCAAAATGTGGACTTTACAATGCCACCAAATTACATTCTAATTTCCTTTCATTTTCAGGCGTTTCTTTTCTGATTGCATCATTGTCGGGACTTGCAATAAAAGCGGTGCTTGGATCAAACTCAATCGCATCTACAATAGCAGAAATAGAAATGAACGAAAAAGAAGAATTATTTATAGAATATGGTGAACAAGTGAAAAAAGATATTATAATTGTAGCAAACGAGGATACAAATGAACAGTCCACATTTCTTCATGAAAAAGGATTTTCTGATAAAAACTTGGTCTAATGTGATTGTATTTTGTATTGATGTATTCAAAAATTTCCATACATGCTGACGCATCGATTTTTGTAGTTAAATGGTTGAATTGTTGTATTTTATACTGTTTCAGCTTTTTTTAGATAATTTCTTGCGATTCGTCAGTATTCATTATCAAATCATTGGATACATCCGTCATTATACACTTTAAAAAGCTTAGAAGATGCTCTTATACATGCACTATAAGTGTGCTTATCGGACAATAGATCATGGTTAAAAGCTTTAAAAGTTTCATTGAAATAGCTAAGCATGAAATTTATATATTATGTATGCATATTTAATAAAAATTCAGTCATAATCACGTCTAATACATTAAAAAAAAACAGATGGTGAAAACAAATGGTGAAAAGCATATAAGCGTGAACCACATATTATAGAACTATTGTATGTTTGTTTTCTTATGAACTAGATATTTTACATTTATTAAAATATGTTATATGTCGACTATAATACTTCAATTAATACTCCTATCCATCATATTTTAAAACTGTGTTATTGTTAAAATGTTTGATAAAATCATTGTTAGCACTGAAAATAATTGTATAGATATAAATGAGAATTAAGTTATACACACAGTTTTTAAATGAAGATTTTAAAAAAAAAAACAAACAAACAAAAAAACTTGATGTTATCAATAAAGCATATTAAACATCTTAGTTATATTATTATAGATGACATTGGATATAAAAGAAGGATAACGATGTTATAAGTTGGATATTTTCTAGGGTTTATTCCCAATTCACCCCAAATATATTCCTATTTTGCCACTTCCCATTATGTCCCTTTCCGGTTCCACACTTTTTTTATTTTGCCCCTTTCCAATTTCGCACCTTCTTCCCACGTCGACACTTTCCCAGAATTGAAATTTAACTGATATAAGAAAAATTACACAGCAGTCAATCACTTAAATATAATTTCAACCAATTGAAGTTGTACAAATCGTAATTTTGTTTGTGGCTTGGAAATTTTGCCTAGGCATCGACATTCCAGCCTACCAACTGCCTCGATTCAAAAATGCACAAGGGACCGTAATTCAAATCGGAACAAGCACGATTTATTATTTATCCTTTTTTGCCCACGTAAAATGGGGGGGCTTATGCGAAGGAGCGAAACGGGGAAGGGACGAAATGGGAATAATTTATGGGTGAATATTGAGAGGGATATGTGGAATGACAACATTATCGAGTGTTGTAAACCTCTAGTACCATCCTATTATTTAAACTCCCGGGGATACAGATATAATATGCCGGATAAATTATCCACTCTATATTTGACTCCAGAAGATCTTTTCAATTATATATTGTAGGTCAATGGTATACAGATACGAGTTGAATCCCTTTGTCATAAAAGCGTCTCTTCCCCGAAAATGTATTGGATATTATACTCAACAGAGACTTTGTTGGTTACACCTAGTGGACACATCACATGCAAATTGTTTCGTCTTCCTTTTTGAAAGCACAGTATTGGAAGAATTGAGGCTTTTTGCGTTGTCTGCTTCTTCAATTTTGTTCAGCACATTGCTCACTGGTTAATTAACTGAACGAGTCTTGAAGGCGCGAGTTGCGCCCCTTATTTCATTATTATTCATTGATTTTTTCTATAGTCTTGTAAGTCGGATAAAACCATTATTATGTCCAGAGTATATCTGTTTATAAGTCAAGCACCAAAGATTTTTTTACGTCCAAATAAAATATCTACATCTTTAAATCCAGCACTACAGACTTTTGTTAAGTCCCTATAAAATCTATACTGAACAGATAAAGAGACGTTGCAAAGCACAGAAAAACAATAAATAATTGTCAGAAAAAAACCACATTTGACACAAAGGATTGTTTGGCTGTCTTTCATGTAATTGCTGTGACATATGAAGGTTCTGATCAAGTGATCTTTACATAATTATGGAGGCTGAAAGTCGGTATCTGGTGCAAGATAACGACAGGCATCTTCTGTACATGAAGTGGCATAATCGATTTACAATCGTCATTAGAATCTGCACCCAGACTCTTAGGAAAGCTGCATTGAATTCTGTTGCCCCCCTTAAATCAAATCTTGCCCCCTAGCAAAATGCACCGGTCACTTTTTTAAAATACACCTTTTCTTATTCCTGAGTCAATAGGAGCGGCAGGTAACTGAGTCTTGAGTGAATAGCAAACAGTGGTCATTCTGGTCAGGCATTTTATGGTGGAGTAAGTGCACCAGTCAGCTGCTCTTGCATTGTCGATCATATGATGAGTATTTCGATATTTTGATTATACGTAACGAAATTTAAGGTTATGGCTTTCAGGGCTTCGTTATGCGAAATGGTTCAAAAAAAAAATACTAAGTATTCCTATCTGTGGGCCTAGAACTGTTTTTAAATATCTTTCTGTTTATACTTAGCTGAGGATGAAACCAGATATCATAGCTTTTAATAACATTTTTAAATTTAATTACATTAGAATAGATAATTTGATACAATTGAGTTCGTTGAAAATCATAAAAAGTTTGCAGTAAAGCGTCATTGGTAACAAAATTATTGGTCTGATACTGGATTGTAATCTGTCCCGTCTCAAAATTCAAAAGATTTGAATGGTTGATTATAAATACTAACTAATAGACATATATTATCCTAAATTGTATTCATATGAATCAAACAACCAAACGTAGGAAAAATGGATAAATATTTGATCAAAAAAGACAAATTGCTTGATGGTTCCGACACTACTACGACTGACACTGGTATCAAAACCACAGCGGGCAACACAACGGATGCAGTACCAAGATGCTCTGAAAAGACAGGAGTACCAGGTGACATTGGAAAAGAAGACGTTCCAAAGCAACCGAGAATAAAATTTCCAGCGAAGTCTGGTCGCCATTTTAGTAACAGTTGGTATGATCGATTTCCATGGCTGGAGTATTCAGTGTCAGTGAAATTGGCTTTCCCTAAATTATATGCACTGGCTGCAAGCGTTGCCACATTCGGTTCTAATACCGCTGTGTGTGAAAGCAGCTTTTCATTTCTTACTCGCGTTGACTCACCACAACGACGATCTATTCTTCTTGCCTTCAACAGGAAGCGTACCCAGAAAATTAACTTGGACGTATTTGTTCAACGTTTTGCCATAAAACATATCCGACTACGTTTAAACTAAAACGGCAATAAAAATGTAACGTATTATAACTTGTGTGTTTTAACAAAAATAATCTCGAATCTAAAATACTCCGTGAAAGTCCGTTTCCCGACGTTTAATCGTCTGTCAAGGTGCTTTGCTAGATTGCCCCCCTCGATTGCACGTTTGCCCACCCAGGATTATTGGTCAGGCTACGGGCCTGGTTAGACGTGCCACAGCGAGTCTTCACAGCAACTAAATTTTCAGAAGGCACCAGTTTGTTTTACACAGAACTCTGGTACGAGCATTTCGATTTTCCTCCGGATCACTTACAACTTGCTCCCAAGGACATCTGACAGTTACCAAAGTTCTCAATTCTTAAATCGAACGCAACCAAAATTAACAAAAAATTTGATGGTGCACGACATTGTCCAAATAATCTAAAATTGAGACGTTTCTTTATCTGTTCAGTATATAAATCAAGCACTGCAGACTTTGTTACGTCCATATAATATCTATGTTTATAAATCATGCATTATAACTATCTTTAGAAATCAAGCACATAATCAAATTGATCTCAATCGCTTGATAATGAATATGAAGAAAAAGTCTAGTTATTTAAATAAATATATTTATTAGAAATATTTATTCTGAATTAAATATTTATGTACATGTATAATAAAATAAAAAGGTTTGATTATGCCCCAGAAACACAACTCAGTTTTATAGATATGTTAGTCAGAGTAATACATATTGATATATTTGATCACTTATTACATTTGTTGATTTGGATATGATTTCCAAAAATGTTAAAAGTGTATCACATGTCTTTGCCTTATTTCAAGTTTTTATGATTTAAAAATCAATATTTCATGCATTTTTTTTAAAAACATGCACAAACTTTTCTTGAATAATATGCTATAATAAATAAAATTTTAAATTAAATATTGAGTAACTTAATGAATAGCCTTAAAGTAATAAACTACCTGGATAACAATGTTTTTAAATTTTGAGGACATAGAAGATGCATGTCCCATGTATACCAAAACACAGACCTGGACAACCTAACCTTATCAAAATATTAAATATTCTGACATACTGTACAATGTGTTACACAAAAATTACACAAGGATATAGACTACAAATAGTAGGTAATGTTAGGTTAGTTAGTATTTGAAATTTGAATACTTTTATAATATGGACATTTCTATCAAGGGTTTATACTTCTTAATTATGAGTCAATTTGATTCATGTTCATTCATGTTTCCATTTTCATTTTATTTTATTTTTTGAGGATTAGTACACTTGCCATCAATGATCTGATAAAACCCATTTTTAAATGGTGTTCAGCCAAATGTGTCAAAAGTTGTCATAATTCAAATTATAACAATACAATTCAATATTTATCTATTCTTCATGTAGTAATCATTCTATCATTGCACAGAGAATTTAGTTGAATATTTTAATGCTCTTGAACATGTATTCTATAATAATTGTGTCAGATCATAGATGACAATTAAAGTCACCAACAGACAAAGGAATAAATGAAACATTTTGATCTTCCTTTAAATCAGAATTGGTTTTTTAGAAGTATTTATTTCAAGAGCTACAAGGGCTGTAATACAAATATATCTTTTCACTGGGGGCATCCATCTTTGGTGTTATTCAAAATCATATAAAATTTTCTATCATTCATTTATCAAAATAGACAAAACTTATAGTAGAGAAAAATAATAACATAACAATCTATGATAACAATCATAACTATTAACCAAATATAACAAAATATAACAAAATAACATCTTAGCTAACAATAAAGTTTCTCTGGTAATCCTCAAGCTAGTTCTATTATTGCAGGGTTTTGGTTACTAAATTCAAATGAATTTAGTAAATTAATTTTCCAGATTCAAAAAACATTTTTGTTGAAAATTCAAAATGCCATTTAAGATTATTACACATAGCTAAACCAACTATTTTATAGGATTAATTTGATCAACTACAGAAAATGATATTTCCATCTAATACTTTGATAAAACTCAAAATAACAAAATAATTAGTAAAACTTGTTAAAACTTGTTCATTTTGATGAAAGTAATCCTTTAACTTAATATCTTAACCAGTGAATGAAAGATCCAACAAGAATGAACTGATGATAAACTCAAGAATATCATTCTGAAAGGTGGCACTATTGATGGAACAAAAAGAATTCAGATGCTTAAACAAGAAATTGAAAGGAATTGTAAGATTGAAGGAAGAAGTTATTACCTTTAAGACAACCTTGATCTGGTGTGAATTACAAGATAAGGGGTTAATTAAACATCAAGCATACAATTCACTCTCATATTTTGATTTTTTTAAATTTCCTTTCTATTAATGTTTCATTTCTATTAATATTTCACAATATATTCAATTTCATAATATTTTAACATTTTCAATTTTGAATTTTTTTTTTACAAATACAGGGATGGTTGAAGACCTCTTATATATACCATTTACACTAGTATTGAAGAAAGCACAATACTACACACTTTTTTTTTAAATATTTTGCCAAGAAACAGGGTTCATGTTCTTTTTGCAACGGTGTACGAAGTACAATGTGATAAACTGTGTACACGATTGCTAAAGAAACATGGGTTCTTGCTTAAATTATCATATTAAGACTACTGACCTTTATTACAGCACATCCAATTATATAATCATATTGAATAAGTAAAAATAATGACAAAAGACTTGGATTTTACTGATGAATATTTTAAAACTTATTAGTATTTCTTTTAAGAATCATTATAATTTCTAGAGGTATATATGGTATTTGTTGGTCCAATAAAGTTATGTTAAATGATATAAATATAAAATGTAAATTGTTAAGGGTTTTTATTGGGTTGTTACATTGCATTTTTAGCAATAAATATAAAATTACGTATAAAATTGTATTAAATTTCAGTTTATATGTAAGCATTTTATCAAAATAATGTGTAAGTTGAAATTTAGCACTCAGGTTTAAGGTCATCACAACATATAAAGAAAATGGACAGATTTTGTCAAAAATTGTATGACAGATCATAGCAGAAAAGGTATGAAACTTATTTTAAATAATATGAATTATGTGCTAAACTTTCACATAAGTTTATCAAAGGATGTATATTTTGACAGGACCTTAAGTAGAAGTATTGTCTTAAATAAGAAAGATACATACTGATTTTTTCACACCTATGAAAGAAAAATACTTGAGGTTTTTTCAACCCACGGAAGAAAGATACATAATGTCTTAAAAAACATGGCACAGAGTTTCAACACGATCCTTAACCATACAAATCATACATATATACCTGGCACCATTATTCTAGCTCATATTTAGCATCAGGTCTTGTGGCAACATGTTCTGAATATGGTCTGTAGCTACTATCACCTGGTAACGATGCCATAGAATATGCAGCAGGTCTGTTTAATACACCATTTCTCTCAACATCATCTGAAGGATCATGATTCACATCTCTTCCTAATAATTGTTCTTTCATTGTTCGTGATTTATAAGCATTCTTGGCCGCATTCAATGAAATAGTTTCTGGACTGAAAGACGTTCCATATAATCGTACCCTGTAATTAATCAAATAGATTTTAATTTATGACATAACATCATGAGACATTTTTTTATTATCATTATGACTTCAACATTTAACATACGCTTGCCATGAAAAGATGCAATTCACAAACTAAAATATGACTTTAAGCATTTGTCTTGTTTGCTTCCCATGCATGGCATGTAATAAGTATCATGTATCTTCAAAGTAGAAAGCTATGCATTCTTTCTAAATATATAAAGTATCCCAAATAAATAATATTCTTCCAATCACTGAATTAAGATTCATGCTCAAAAATCTTATAACGACTGTTTATTTTCGAATATAGTGCAATTGCAAACTGGACATTTGGTGAAAAATTCAAATTTTTTTTGTCACTGTCTGTAAAAAATGTGCACCGCAAGTTTGGCAAGTCCATTTTAGGGTAAAATACCCCAATATATATGTAACGCTTAAATATTAGTAAAAAAAAAAAAAAAGATATATACCTGTGTACAATAAATATTGTAGTAATAATTATCACAGATAAAACATCAATAGATACCCATAATATCAAATAATTACTTGGTTCCTGTAAATAAATATATAACAATGGTAATTATGTTAAAAAAAATAACAAACAAAATTTCTGTCATTCATGGAAAAGTGCAAATTATGATAGAAAAATCATCTAACAATACAATGAAAGTAAGGGTTACTACACCAGTCTAAGTTTTTTGAGTAAGTTTTAAATTTTATATTCCAATTTGACATTGATGACAGAAAACATAATCATTTTCTCCATCTATCTTTCTTAAAAAAAAAAACAATTTGGTTAAAGGTCAAAATAAAAGGGTTATCAGATAAAAAAAGGGGGGTATCATTTAAAAAAAAAAAAGGTATCAATTAAAAAAAAATTGTTATTGTTAAGTTAACCGGCTTTAAAGAAAGATTATGAAATTTTATGATGTTTAAATTAAACTTACTAATTGCCATACTGGGGATTCCATCTGACTTAATATATCACAATTATTAGTAGTTATAGACTCAGCACCAATACACCAATAGTATGATAAAAACCATTTACTATTTATTAACCATACATTAGTTGTTATATTATCTTCTTTATATTCTCTACAATTAATTACATTGAAAAAATAAAACAATAAAATGATATTACCAGTTTAATTTACTACAAAACTGCCCATATCAAAAGAAAGCACTGGTTGTTCTTCAGTATACCTGGCACAGGTAATAATTTACATATATTAATAATATGGATCAGTTATCTCACTGATAATAACACAAATCAGTTATCTTGCTGATAATAACATGAATCACTTATCCCATTGATAATAACATGAATCAGTTATCTCACTGATAATAACATGAATCAGTTATCTCACTGATAATAACATGAATCAGTTATCACAATGATAATAACATGAATCAGTTATTTCACTGATAATAACATGAATCATTATCTCACTGATAATAACACAAATCAGTTATCTTGCTGATAATAACATGAATCACTTATCCCATTGATAATAACATGAATTAGTTATCACAATGATAATAACATGAATCAGTTATCCCATTGATAATAACATGAATCATTATCTCACTGATAATAACATGAATCAGTTATCCCATTGATAATAACATGAATCAGTTATCTCACTGATAATAACATGAATCAGTTATCACAATGATAATAACATGAATCAGTTATCTCACTGATAATAACATGAATCATTATCTCACTGATAATAACATGAATCAGTTATCCCATTGATAATAACATGAATCAGTTATCTCACTGATAATAACATGAATCAGTTATCACAATGATAATAACATGAATCAGTTATCTCACTGATAATAACATGAATCAGTTATCTCACTGATAATAACATGAATCACTTATCCCATTGATAATAACATGAATCAGTTATCACAATGATAATAACATGGATCAGTTATCTCACTGATAATAACATGAATCACTTATCCCATTTATAATAACATGAATCAGTTATCACAATGATAATAACATGAATCAGTTATCACAATGATAATAACATGAATCAGTTATCTCACTGATAATAACATGAATCATTATCTCACTGATAATAACATGAATCAGTTATCCCATTGACAATAACATGAATCAGTTATCTCACTGATAATAACATGAATCAGTTATCACAATGATAATAACATGAATCAGTTATCTCACTGATAATAACATGAATCACTTATCCCATTGATAATAACATGAATCACTTATCTCACTGATAATAACATGAATCAGTTATCTCACTGATAATAACATGAATCACTTATCTCACTGATAATAACATGAATCACTTATCTCATTGATAATAACATGAATCACTTATCTCACCGATAATAACATGAATCACTTATCTCACTGATAATAACATGAAACAGTTATCACAATGATAATAACATGAATCACTTATCCCATTGATAATAACATGAATCAGTTATCACAATGATAATAACATGAATCAGTTATCTCACTGATAATAACATGAATCAGTTATCACAATGATAATAACATGAATCAGCTATCCCATTGATAATAACTTGAATCAGTTATCCCATTGATAATAACATGAATAATAATGCAGGCCTTCGATTATATAATGCTGTAAAGATATTTAGCGTGTTTGGCAAAGGAAGGGTTGGTATAATTGAGAACAGTAAATGAAAGCTATGTATGATTCATAACTTTGAAACAAAGAATTAATAATGAAAAATACACCAATGTCATAACAAGTTTTCCACATAGTAAAAATGTGTTTAAATTCCCATAAGAATGAAACATCCACCACCATTCCTCAAATAAACCACATATAAAGGTTGTATTACCTAATTTGATCTGCTGTTATTTCATCATACTGTACATTAACATTAGTTATATTATTATCATGTAAGTATTGTAATGGTTCATACATTTCAGCTGTTAATTTGACACCTTTTCGACTTTCTAAAGTTGTATCTTCTAGCCACCATAACTGAAATTAGTAGAATAAAATACTGAAGACAAGCCATTATAACCATAGGGATTTGAAGTTGTAATGGTTAGTCTCTATTTTTATTTCTTGTTATACAAAGTTTCGACATGCAATGCTGTTATAGAAATTATTATAAATTATAAGCTTAATGTATAAGACAATGAGTATACTGCTAATGATGTCAAATTCTGAGTAGAGTTACATCCCTTACAATGGGCATAAACAAATAAATTTATCTTCTGTTCAAAGTAGGCGTCATTTTAAACTATACAAGATAATCTTACATTTTGAAGTTTGAGACCAGCTCTCTGTATAGCATCAATAGTAATATTAATAGATTGGTTGAAATAAGGATGATATATTGGTGGTAAACGTAAATCAAAGATAACAATTTTATTAGTTTCCACTGCTAGTTGTATAAATTCTTCTAATGTTGGTATAGATTGATTTTTATATATAATTTTATCTTCTTCTGTTAAACTACTTACACTCCACATTGGATCAGTCTACAACAAATAAAAACATTTCTATTGAACCAGCCATCTAATGAAAGATGTAAGAATCTCCTTTTGCTGTTTTTAGGACCAATAATTGTAATTTTAACAGAAAAACATTGTAGCAGGTATATTGAGATTTCTAGGTGAAGCATTATACTGAACCATGATTCAATTCAAAATGTCCCGAAGAAACCAAATACAACCATATTAACATTAATGTATGTTTCATATACAAACTTTGTCATCCGAAAGAGAACAAAAACCAAAAACAAACATTTACCTCTAAAAACCAACCTCCAGCATTTAATTTTTTGACATCAGATATATTAAACATAGAAACATCATCATCTATTCTATCAGGGAACACATCTTTAATATTTGTTGTTCTTCTTAATGTACTATCATGCATTAAATAAGGGACTCCATCAAAACTACAATAGAAAAATAGATTATAGGTACATTGTATTTGTCTGCTATAGAACATAATCTTATCAATCAGTTTCAACTATACTTTATAAGATCTATTAAAATTCTTACAGACTTTGAGGTAGTAAGTATATTTATTATAATTTGGACTGTCCTTGACATCTTATCCATGGAAATATCTGGATATCAAAATTTTGATTAAAAAAAAAAATCACAAAAGAATTGCCTCTGATGTGACTCTGCCTTCAGAAAGCTATAAATAGTGAAGAATTCACACTTGCATGACTTGCACCTAGAGATCATTATTTGAGTAAAACAGGTCCTACACTTAAGATCAAGGATGTCCTAAAGGAAAGTTTTGTCTTCCTTTGTTCTTTTTACTATAACCAAAGAATCCAGTAAATCAGGTTACTATGATATTGGTTCTAGAAACTGACTTGAAGGAATCCATCTTTAATACATTGTACACCAATTTCACTCTTACCTCGTCAATATCCTATATTCTAACCTAGTTACGGTATTTTAATGTTTTATTAATTAGCAACTTCCTAATATCATCAACCTAATAGACTGGGTATAAGTTAAACTACTTAAACTTTTCAATTAAACACAATTTTTTAAAATATTATTTGTAGTTGAAAAGGAAATGAGTTATTTCCTTATACATATAGAATTTTTATTTAGATTTATATAGATTTTGCAGTGTTATAAATAAAAACTGTTATGTATCAAATTTGGTTATTGCATTAAAATCAAAACTGAATTATAAATGGTTATAATGTTTAATATTGTCAAAATACTGCTGAATTAGATGTCAGTAAATACAGCTCAGATTATCTCAATATGTTTTCAAATTTTAAAAGTAAAGTGAAAGGAGAAGAATTTTTTACCTAAAATTTGCAAATTTCTATGTTTTAAATAATAAATAAATACCTTATCACAACATCTGATTCATAACCATAAACTCCACTTTCATTAGCTTTTTGGAATGCTATTAATGTATTTTCTGGGGCAATCTAAAAAAAAGGTAAACAAAGCTATTTAGTGGCCACTCTTTTCAACCAAAAATAATAAACATGCCTTGATATATCATACTTCAAAGGTGGAATATCAGTTCAACATAAGAAATAATAGAAATATTACTATAAATAGATCAATGAGGGTGAAAATGGAAAATGGAAGTAAACTTACTCGTGATGCTCCTCTATGAGAGAGTAATTTAGGTTTTGGTGGTAATTCTTCTATAGATATAACACATGGTGATTTGATATAAAGAGGTGTTATGTACAAACCAACCATTATAATAATAAAGAATAATAATAATGACCATTTTATAGCTGAAAAATACAGGTTAATGACCATAAATAAACAAACAAGATTCATATATTTCCTATACAAACCAACAGTCTACTTTTTTTCAGTAACCTGCCTTTTAACTTAACAAATCTAAGTTATGTAAATAACTATTTGAATGATAATTTAATAACAAAATATTTTTACTGTTAAAATAGAGCTCAAAACATCAATACAGAGATATCTGAGGTTGCCTGAATCTCAAACCTAGTTATGAGAATTTTGCCTGAAAAACTTGCTTTTGGGGCTGCCCCCTTTGGCTCTGCGACTGTTGGGCTTTTGATAAAAATTAACCTCTCAAATACTGACTACATTAAAGTCAGAAAATTTTATTCAGACAAGAATGGTAAATTTTACCAAATGAGAATTTCTGGGCTTAACCCAGAATCAAATATTCAGTAATAAATAAACATTTAATGTTTGTTTACATTATATTAATATAGTTGTTTCAGAGAAAATATGTCAGATAGATGTGGTAAAAGTTAAGAAAACAGTATAGTATTTATTTAACATTTCATAGTCAATTGTAGACTACACAATATTATCTTAAATTACATAGTCTTATAGTGAACAGGAAATACCAAACAGACTTTTTAATTCATTACTTAATTTATAATAATTGACTCATTCATCCAAGAATTTCATTCAGTAATGATGAATAATATATACGCTGTGGGAGGTGGGGAGAGGAGCATTGGGGTGCCTTGAGTCAAGAATAGGTCTATTGCAAATAAAAATGGAAAATTTAAAGATTGAGTGTTAACAATTTTTTGACTGTACCTAGGTTTCTTATTTTATACCACTGTCCAGCTATCAACCATGTTAAAGATGTTAATAATATGACAGTGCCTATCTGTAAGAATGGTCCTGTAACCTGGAATAATTATAGTAATAAAAGAATAAGTTTCTGAGGAAAACTGAGCAAGCTACATTTTTGTACTGATACATCTTTACTTTGTCAGGCTAATAATAAGTGTGTCTAATACCTTGATATCATCGGGCACTTTCCTTGAATCTGAAGAGAATGCTTCACTTTGATTTGATTGTATGCTTGTAAAGACAGAAATTCAGAGCCATCAATAGAAAGAATGTTACATAACAGCTTATTGTTTACAGTTGTTAGGTCTCACTGATTGGCTATATTTGAAGTGAATAATCCAGTCAGATCACTGCATTTACAAACTTCAATGATCCAAAAAAAATGCCTAATGATATCAAGGTATTAGACCTAGACACACTTCCTAATAGCTTGACATAGCATGAACATGGAACCAATACTACAACTGTTTTCAATAACATATTTTGGGGAGAAGGCAAATGTTAAAGGTAGATTTATTCAAAAATAAATTGCATCAACCTGGGTAGAGAATAAAATATCTAGTCTATCAGAGTCTGTCTCTATCTTGTAGATAAGAATCAATAATATATATAGACATCTGGATTGTTACTTTAAGGTAATTAGAATGTCAAGATCATCATGACATGTTGATTTCAAAGAAACATTCCTTACATTTTAGTGTTTACACATTCAAAGACATGCTTCTATTCTTAACCACTTCCTTTTGCACTTCAATAAACTTTAATATAAATCTAGAACACTCCTTCTTGAAAAGATTCCTAACGCCCACACTAATGAATTCCTACCTTTAGCTGCACACACAAATGCAATACAGCATAACATAAAATATGAATTTAATCTTTTTTGCAAAAATCATGCTGGTCATATATGCCTTAAAATTTTGCATGCAAATAAGATCAAGTTTCTGTGAGGAGGTTTGGACAAAACCATCACCAAGACGCTTCAATTAACCGTTTTCTTTAAACTGATACATGCTGCGATTACCACGAAAATATCAAACTTTCTTAAACCATTTATAAATAAAAAGATATATTAAAGACTTACCTTTAATGATAAATAGAGAACATAGAATTGTGTGGCCCACTGGTTATCTAATGCTATACACATAGCAACACAACACAATAACGTGGCAATTATCAATACAATATGTATTGGATGGATATAAAGTTGATGACCATGATATGCATGACATAAATACAAAAACTGAAAAAAATATTAAAATTAACTATTACATAAATATAATATTTCTCCACACAAAATCAAAAATTGATTGCAGATTGCAGCTTTTTAAATTTTTGGTTAAAGAGTTGAGGTGGCTCAGATTTAGACACTTGCTCACTAACCTGGCCAAGGCAGGCATGGGTCCAGATAAAACCTTCAGATATATCAACACATGAAAGATCCTGATAAAATTTACTCATCACACACTCCATAGCATTGCCCCTCCTAATTAGCAAAACAGGTGCAACAAGTAAGATGTAAAAACTCATTTCCTTTTTATTTTTTTCAAAGGATGTATCCCTTTCATTTGATGAAATTCAGACTTTGATTGTTATTTCAGAAGAGTTGGCAACTAGCAGTACTTATTCTTGAAATCATCTGTTATTGAGAAGGTGAATTAATGCAGCTGCAGCTTGTAATAATACACTTAAAATTACATTCTCATCAGAACAGCTGATTTTCTCTATTTCTATTTGTGATATTAAGTTCAACTAATTTGGCTACCTCTAACTTTATCTTAATAATTAAGGCCTTATTATTTGTACACTTTTCAAAATTACAAGACTAAATGAGAGATTGACAAAAGACATTTTCCTTAAGGAAAATGACATCTACAACAATCAAACTCTTATCAAACTCTTGTTTTCCTCATCTTCAAATATCAAGATCATTAATATATAGATGTTTGTATATAGATCTAGAATAAACATCTATAACACATACTACTATCAATCTAGATAATAAACAATTTGTTTTACATCAAAACATACAGTTGTCAGGTTAAAGGTTAAACATCTGAAATTCTATCACTCTGTATTTAATATACATATATTAATGAGTTTCATTTAATTACTTTATTTTTACTTGCACTTTATCTTCATTAACATATTAATTAATTGGAAACGGGATTTTAGAAAATTTGCTTAACAAGCTGATTTACCCCAATTTCAGCTTTCTGTATCACTCTTCATAATTAAAAATCCAAGTATGGTTCTCTACTAACAAAATAATACAATGAATGAAAAGGTTGGACTCTTCAAGGATGTTATTAACTTTTTATCAGGCAGATATCAATGATATCAGTGTCATTACTGCCTTTGAGATTGTCAATACTGGTCTGAAAGTACAACAGTCTAGAACCTCTCATGATTTCTCAAAGGATTTGATTATTTGTAAATGAACAGCAATTCAGATTTGAATTTGCAAAGTGTTAAGGATAGCTGAAATTAAGCTCTATTCGCTGATAAAAGCAATTATTTAGAGGGATACATCTTTATGATAATCCAATAAACAAATCATATTTGCATACAAAGATCTTACTGACAATAAATATGACCTGAATGGTATCTAACTTGACCTTGTTATGATAAAAACATATTAAATATGTAAGAAAGAGTTATTACAAATATAACTAATTTAAATTAGTATAATAAGGTTAATAAATATTCAAAGTCACTCATATTATAATGATATATATATCAGTTATTTCATAATTTACTTATATCAGATTTCAATGACTTATATTACATTATAAATCCTTCTTATTTAGATTTATACATTCAGTTTTAATAAACAAAAATAATTCTTTTGAGTAGAAAATCATGCTGGGGTTAGTTAAGTTAAAGAGATGGTATGCAAAATTTTCATTTGTTAAAATGTTTTAAATAATACATGAAGAATATGATTTAAAAGGGTTAATTAAAAACAATGTGCTCAATATTTCTAATTGAAATCTGTGATAAGAGGAGAAATATATTTGAAATATTGGGCACTTTGTTTTATTTGTGTGCTATTGAGTTATAATTATATCTATTATGACTGAAATCAATAAAATTGCGACCAGTTTAAAATAAATTTCATAGATATTTTTATCTCTGACTATCAATTGAATGGATTAGGGCTGAAAATCAAGTCATTTAAATCAGCCTGCAGATTGATTTGTTCATAAAAACTGAAACCAAAAAGCTTTTCTTCTTAGATAAGGTCCATCAGTCTGTTCAACAATTCATTTTAATGATTGGTGACCAATGAAAAAAGTTGAAATCTATACTTACCATAACAATAAACATGTAACCAAAAGCTGCACATGTTAAACCTAACATTATCTTATACCATGGTACCCATGACTTGATAAGTTTAAACATTTGCCTGAAAATATCAATAAATTGAAATTGAAATTTTTAGAAAGAAACCTTGAAAGTCTGCTTTTATAAAATATACTTCACCAAATGGCAAAAAGGTAACCATAGTTTGTACTGGTAACATCATGAATAAAGGGTTACTGATATCCTAAATTAGGACATGGTGTTTCATGCTTATTAGAAGGTTGATATAGGAAATGTATGAAAACAAAAACAAAGTAACTTACCAATTTAAGTCATCAAAACTGTTTTTAGCAATTAACCAGAAGTAGAAATAGAATATGATAAAGAGGAATGTTATTACAAATAATGTAAACCATAGTAAATCTCTCTGAAAATATAAAAAAAAAAACATTGTAAAAGACCAAAAAAATCTGGCATGATTACACATTTACAAAGCCAGAATTGAGAGGATTGTCTTTATCAAAGGCAACGTTTATTGTTTATAACAGAGTTTCTCAAGTAAATAAGCTGAAGTGCCACTTTCATTGTTCCGAATTGCTACAGTGCCATAAACCTTGGTTTATAAGATATTTTGCTAGGTTTCCACAAATGTGGAGGATATTCAAACGTGAGCATTCTTAGTAACAGGCCATTGCTTCCATTCAATAACATCACACAGTATTTTTCACATCACAATGAATTGTTTTAATTAAAATCAACATGTTAATATATTTCTGTGAGTTACTACATTTATGATCGAAGGAAATTCTAAATGTGTTCATTGAAATTTTGCTATTACAAATGTAAAGCTTAGACATGATTATAAAAATAAATAGTAAGAAATATTCAATATAATAAGAAAAGACCACCATCAAATATCATAAAGGACAGGCTGTACATTCAGTTGTACAAAATAAATAACTTGTTCAAGTATAAAGTAAATAAATGGTAAATGTATTTCTGGACATCTTTTGTTATTATTTAAATCTTATCAAAGAATAATAAATCTAAACAATATGATGTAGAATATATGCAACCTACAGATTATTTTAATTAGAATGAATTGATGCCAAGTCTTATCTCCACAAAAACAATCAGAGTCTGTACTTTTTATATAAAATTAAACAATTCCACTTGTTTCTAATAAATTAGTCTCAAGTTTTATCATCAATTTGCAAGATAAGACTAACAGGAAAAAAAAATTCCATACAATAATGATAAAAAAAAAATCCCTAAAGGGATGCAGTTGGCTACATATTTTATTTGCAGCTGATATAGCTCAAACAATATAAAGAGATTAAATAATCTATCACATATTGCTTGTTGTTACTTCAATTTTAAAGAAAGAACCATTATTGGGCATGAATGTATCTAAAATTTGAAGTGCCCATGCAAAACCTCTAGATTAGCTTATTCTTACATTTCATTTTGGTCAAAAGGAGAATACCAATTGTTATACCTATTTAACATTTTCTTAAAATGTCTATCTCATGTACACAACTTTTATGCAAATGATACTCAAGGTGCTTTTTTGGTTATTGGTATTTATATTATACATTATATGTTTATCAACATGGGCACCCCTAATGTTACTTTGGTGTAATGGACTTAATTCTGACCAATGTATCATTATTAACATTATTATAACTTAAATTCAAAGTACAGTGACAATAGAGATATAACGCTTTGAGAGACCTTGTGTTCTTATAAGAGTAATGACTGACTGGCTTGCAGTAAAACCCTTGATTTTACATAAAACTAACATAAATATAAAAATAACAGTTACAATTACCTTAGTTCTAAAAGCTTTTCCTATGGTACCAAATAGAAATAGATGTAACATATCTTCTATGTATCAAGATCTATTTCACACTTTAATAATAACACTACTCAAAACATTTAATTCACAGTTACTTATATTCCTTGTTCAATCCAACTTCAGATGGTTTGGTAGAAACAACAAACTACTGAACGGTACCGAGAACTACAGTTAATCTCATACTAACATAACTTAACATAAATCAAATCCAAATTACCACATTCCTGACAAAGCTCCTACAGTTTTATGCCTAACAATCTCTGTACCTCTTGAGTTCGACATTTTTATGGAGGTAGTAATGTACCTAATCACCATTAATAAGTTAGCAATAATTATCAGATCATGATAGTTTGTTTATCTAAGCACTAACTTCATCATTGTTTGGTTCTCTATTCTTTAGTGATAATTAAGGTAGGATTAAACTAATGGGATTTGTAGTAGTAGTTAATCCTCACTTTAAAGGCAATGGTTAATGAATAGAGTATTTAACCTTGACTAGCGCTTCAACACCTATTTTAATTGAAACTTAGAATAAAAAGTTAGGATAGGTGTAAGAACATTGAAAATATTTTTTAAGACACTGGCCCCAGGCTTATTTTAATTCAGTGTCAAAGGAAACCCTATATTTTATCACAAATTGATCAATTAGATGACACATTATTCATGAAAAAAATGGCTGGTTGTAGATTAACAAAAAAGAAACAATTTGGTTACTCTCCAGAGGATATGAAATGTGCTCCCAGCATTCTCAAAACACTCAGTTCAATTTTTCTAAGATTTTCTATTAAACAGAAGCTGATGTAGTTAAATTTCTGCTATTTGTAAACCATTTCAGATTTCAAAATTTGTTCCACATGAAATTCAATTCAAGGCATCACATATGCTTTGCAGGAGAATTGAATTGATTGAATTGACAAGTACCCAAGTTATTTTGTGTAGGTGTAAAAAAGTTTTGATCTGTGACAACTGAAACAAAAAGTGGACAAAGAACATTAACACATTCTTCCATTAATTACACATTGTTTCATTCCAATTATCGCACACAAAAATAACTATGCAAGTCAAGATTTCAAATTTTATCAATTCTACTAACATTGTGCACATGGGCCATTAGTTGGTAGCTAATATTGTAAACCCGTTGAATGAACAGAAATATAACTACAAATCTATCTTCTGCATAATTTGTAACAGTTGTTCAGTAATTCAATGAAAGTTGTAAGTACCAATTTGAACTCTACTTTCCAGAGGTGTGTCTCTAGTATTGATATTCTGTCTGCTTTATTTAACTCTCAGTTGGAAGTATATTTCAAGGATGGTTAATCACTTGATACAAAATCTTTAATGTTCTTTTCATGTTCTCATTAGACCTATTTAATAAACTGGCTCATCAGGAAATTTAAATCTCAGAAAGTTAATAGGTTATAATTAACCACTACAGCCTTTAAGTATATTAATACTTTCATACCATCATCATCATCAATTTAGCCAAAACTATTTTGGTTCTTGGAAAATCCACTTGGGTCCTCTTAGAAAGGATACTCGAAATAGCCAAAATTAGTGCACTTCCTTAAAGTCAAAATGTCAAATTCTACTTAAAAAAAATCCTCAAATTCTATTTATAACAAAATCATTAAACACTTAGCATAGTCTTAAATTAACTTAATGAGTAGGAATTTAATCAATACAAAATTTAATTAGTGAACATAAGGAAACAAACATCAAATCAAGGAAAGTGATGTCCCCTTTTAGATGTCATGCCAACTGTGATGCCAACTGTTGCAGGAGAAGTAAGTATACATATATACAACACTTCTCCAAGAAGTAAGTAAACTTATATATATCTATAGCCTATTAATATATAATGTCATACTGTTAATATTATTGGACAATAAATCAAAGAGTAGTGCAATAGCTCAGTCGGTAGCGCGTTGAATTGTTGTTTGCTAGGCTATTACCATTAGGTGCTGTTGGTTTGAATCCTCCTCAAGGTAACAAAAATTCTGATGCCTGTGCCAGTTCTTCTGAGGGTCGGCCGTTTGTCAGCTCATCATAATTTCTATATAAAACTCCCATCCTTACTCTATTGTATCATCAATTATCTGCTAGATACTGGGAAATATATCTAGTGAGATAACTGTATCATCTTTAAATGAAATGAAATGAATGGAGTTTTACGTCCTACTTTTCTGCACCATGTGGGCTAATAAAGACGGGCAACGCCATATAGGGTGCAATGAGGGAAATTTTGCCAGGACAGCGACATTAGCCTGCTCTTTTTTCGATTTCAAGGGATCTTTAACGTGCACAACCTGTAGCACACGGGGCCTCGGTTTATTGTCCCATCCGAACGACTAGACGCTTTTTCCATGTCAGCCCCCCGTACCTGCATCACTGACAGGGGGAAACCGGGTTGAAAAGTCCGAAGGTATTATCTCGACCTATGCCGGGATTGAACCATGGACCTTCAGGTTAGCGAGCAAGCGTCTAACTCACTGAGCCACCTATCTTTAAAAAAACATATCCAACACTTGAATAATACTGATATATTTCAACCCAAAAGATTTTTACTTTTAATCAAGTCCAAATGATAACCATAGAGTAGTCAAAATTGTGGCTCACATATTTCATTTCATGGCTACATTTTTTGGGAGGATCAATCTTACAGAATGAATATTCTGATTTAGTGTGAATATAAATGCCCAAAATTTAGCTCATGAATGTTATATATGAGGACATGTTTCTTTAATATCTGATCATTCATCAGAACATCACCAACAGACAAATTCCAGATATCACCAACATAAAGAAGTTCTGGTTGCTTTTAGATAAAAACTGACACCTGGATCTTATTTCTACCTTACATCATAGCTTACAGACTTATGTTATCATAAAATGATCAAAATACTAGTAAATACCACTCTTTTATATGATCTCACTAATTTTTCTTTCACACTTTATTTGAAATGGTGGCTTGCCAAATGATTGAGTGGGTGTTTCTTGTAATGAGAACCTTACATCCTGACTTAACATATCTTCAGTAGTTCAAATCATATTGATCTTAAGACTGTTTAAAGGAATACTACCTCTTAGAAAGAGCAGAAAATTCAAATTCTCAAACTTAGTCAATAACAGTATTCTTACATAGTGTCATAATCATACAACAAAATCCCTTTCAAATAATTACATGTATCTATAAAACTATCAGTAATTATTAGAAAACGTTGACATTTTTGGAACTTTTTTCAATACTTGAATTAATTCGTTTGAAGGTTTCGTTGAATATCAAAGAGATTCTATGTTATGAATATATCTAGTCTTATTGGCCAAGTTTGAGATTAAAAGTTTATGTTCACTGAGTAAGCATATTTCTTTAAGGTATTCAGTAATTATCTACTTGACAATATCTAGATATAACCCATCATACTTAAGCTTATATGTTGACCTATCAAAAACCATATTTCTGTCGCAGATCATAATAAAAGACAAGCAAGGAAACCACCCATAGAGCAGGGTGCTTTAAAAGATTAAAGAATTAAATTGCAACACTATTACCAAGTTATTTGTAGGTATGTCATTATAGAAATATTTGTGTGGACCACTCTTTTTATTCGCTCTTCCCACTTACACAATATCTTTGTCAAGTCATAATAGTGTATTATTTAATATGTAAATCTGGTAGATGTTGAGTTATTCAACTGAAGTTTGAACAATGGAATGTAAATTTGTAGAGTATTATATAAGATTCTTAAGATTTGAGTAAAAAAAAAGATTTTGAAACACTATCCTTTAACTACACCAAAATAAATAGCAAATGTCATTTTATCCACACCTTCTTCTTCTATTGAGACATTAAGGTCAAAATATACACCTTCAAGTCTAGCCTAACTTCTTAACATCATTTTATATAAGATTACATCTTCTATTGTAGTATCTTGTAGCTATATCTTACGCTCAAATAAACACAACTTAAATTTTTGTAGTCTTGTTTCATAGTTTTCCTTTTATTCATGTTTTTGGCAATAAAGTCGTAGAAATATCTAAAGTCTAATTCAAGATGTATTATGCAAGACTGAGTCTAGTTAAAATTTTTCAAACTTCATGTGAAGGTAAATTCTGATATGAGAATAGTTTATTGAGTGGTTTATTTAAATGAGAAAGTGAAAAGTGGAATATTTTTGTCAACAAGGTATATGGTGTTAACAGAATATGGTAATGACATCTTATATCACAGTCAAGATAGTAAATCTTGCAGTACTACTAACATCAAAGTCATATCATATTATAAAGAAAAGTTGGGAACTAAGAAATTAAACTAAAAAGTTGACAAATGCTGACATAGGCTGATCTGAAAATATTCTTGTTGATGTACCATTTCTCTAGTCTTATAATAAATAATTTTCTGTTATACCATGATGCCTCCTGTGGTAATCCACATCTGATTAAATGGGTTGGTTACCCCTGAACCATAAAGGATGCACTATCACCTAATCAAATGATCATATTAAAATAAGCTTATACCATATAATTCTATTTCAGTATTGAATATTCATGATAAAATAAGTAAAAAGATGTTTCTATAATTGACAACACTCATCAACAATGTCAATGTAATATCCAAACATTACCTTATTTCTGAATAAGATCTTCTTCATCATTATTTATTATTAAAATCAATTAAACTAATTCAATAATCCAATGATTTCAATTTGTTCAGCAATAATGATGTCTGTATGAAATCACTAAGTCACTCACTTATAATCACTTTCGCATTCACTATATTAACAGAAGCAAATGTTACAGAAATTCAATCAATTCTAATATTGAATAAATCTAAATCTGTATTCACCAGCCGTAAGGAACCAAGTGATTATTTACACCACACCTTGTCAACAAATGACTAGAAACAATAATAAACAGTGTGTTTTTTGCTGCCTTCCAGATTGTTATAAGTTTATCACGAAGTGTTCTCAGTGTTAAATACCAACCTACTATACTCCACACACTTCCTAAACATATATACTAAAACAACTTGAAACTTAACTTCCTAATTAAAATTCTAGAGGAGTTGAAGTTGAGGTGAGGTTTTCATCTTACCAATAATTAATAAGATTAGTATAAAACAAGAGATAACTGTGTCTTATAATGACTTTATCAACTCATTCATTCACTCACTTGATGGCACAAGACATTTTATACTCCATCGTTTTATTTCTATTCAATGAAAGTCAGATTAAAGCTTATAAGCTTATTTATTCTGATTATTCCAAAAACTAGTAATGTTTTCAGTGTTAAAGTAATACTGGTAGTGTTTATTTTTTTAGTAACATAAAAGTCTTCAGTTCATAAGTTATACAAGTACTTTTTGAATGTAAGCTTAGAACTTTACTTGAAAATGATAGAGGAAATGAAATTTTGTGCTTATATAGGTATTGAGGCCTGAAATCAGAAACATTGTAATTCTTAACTTTTGTGTGTAAATTATTTTGAACATTATAGAAACTTTCCTTTAGACATTGTTCATATCATTTAGTTTCTTATAACAATTTCAAACTTAATAGATTACAAATGAATAACATAAACATAGGTAAATTCTGTTAATTACTTATATTATGTGATAAGATATATGACTTTATATGGTCATTTGTATAACTGGATATGAACAATGATATCACACTATCAGACACAGGAAGTTGGAACCTGTCCAAATGTCAACACTTAAAGACTTACAGTAAGTTGCCCAGAAAAAAGATATTACAGAAATACTAAGAAGCCAAATTGAACATTATAAGTGTTGCTACAAGCCACATGTTTAAATTTGCTTTTAATAACCAAAAAGAGATTAGAAATTATGCTAATTCTCACTAATAATTATTATAGTTTTTTGTTGGAGGTAATTTCACTTAACCAGGAAAAGGTTAAAATGACATTATTAAACCAATAAGTTTATTCATATAAATGGCAACATTTTCAAAATACTGACTTTTACACGTGCAAACCACAAATGTTACATCAAATAGCATATAATATAGAGTGTGACAACAGAAGGTTGAATTTAGAGACATTATTGATTGTTTGAAAGCAGATGATGCAATAATGATAAAATATCATTGAAGACCTCTAGCATGACTATTTATGAATAAACTTACTATTTACTTTACTACAAGCTATCATGTTTGAAGCGTTACAAATTGCTTTTCATTGAATTTTCCAAGCATCGAAATTTGTCATTAAAATTCTGGTTTACAAATAAGATATGAAATAACACCGAAAAATGTGTTTGTGTTAATACAAATGAACTGTCCATTCCAGTAAAGGCAATTCATCATAAAGATAGAGGTAGGGAATATAAATCAACTCATAATTTTCTTATATTGTGTTCAAAACTAATCTAGGTGCTATATATAGGTGAAAGATAAATTATCATCAGTGAAATTATGATTGATCATCATCTAAATTACAATACTAATATAATAGAAGAGGTTTGCACCATGGTGAACCTTTTAACACATTCTTATTTTTTTGATATTTTTCAATTTTTTCACTACACTAATCTATTTTTACACAATTGTTTTGTGTAATGACAATCAGCAAAAACTCCAGAAGTCATTCAATTGAAAACTACTTGTAACTAAATACTGAATCATTTAAGAAATTCAAATTAATATGAAAGTAAAAAGGACATTATGCAATTTCATGCTGTAACATGAACAATACATAAATATCTGTTATCATACTGTTTAAATGATTTAAAAAATATTGTTATAAAATACAGGTGTGGAAGGCCATAAACTTGTTACTTACTGCAAGTCTAGGCATATCTATTCATTTTCATTAAAGATTTATTCATCCGTCTTCTTCTCAATTAATACAAAAAAATATAATTTTTACTAACCCATTTGACCTTGAATTCTGGCCGTTTATTTTTCCTATTAACCACTTTATGTTCCTCCACATCCATGATAGAAAATATTTGAAATGAAACAAGTCAACTGAGACCAGGATTCACACAAATTAACACCAATACTATTGACAGACAAAATAGTTATGACTTCACACTATTTCAATTTTACTACTTTGTATTGGTTGACCCCAAAAAACATAGTTTATTCACTACAGTGAAATAGGTAGAGCATAATAAAAATTAAGGTCCTTTCGTTCACGCATAAACCTGTACAATGAATATTCAATAACGTGCGTAGGAAATCATGAACAAAAGAAGTCAAAGAGCATGTTGAAATTCCCTCCCTTGATCCCTTATACAATACAAGTGAAGCAAATAACAAGAGTTTTATCATAACTAACGGTGATAATAAATAATAGATTGACATTACAGGTGGGCTAAACTCATCCTCAACTTTTATTGGTTTTCCACGTTTCTTTTTTTTATTTATCATGACAAGGAATTTTATAATTACTTAATATACAGATCAATACCAATAATCTTCATATCTCAAAAATCATAATTCATTCAAAAATATTGTGTATCACAATTATAATTGTCATTAGTTTAATCAAATAAAGAAACACGTTTATGACAATGTTTATTTCTAACAGGATATATATTTTTAATATACCCACACCCTATAAATATTTGAATAAATTAAAATAGTTAGGGATAAGATAACTGCACCTAACCATGTCTGAATGTGATTGGTTAACATATATTTCACCTGTGTCTTATTCTGGACAATTCCTAATCAAATTCAGCAAAATTGTCTCATTGAAAAAATTAAAGCAACAGTCCCACAATCATTTACTTAAAGTAGTGCAAGAACATTAAAGGGATTGTAAAATGGTTCTCTAAATTTTTCATGTGTATCGGGGACACTGATAGCATCAATTTGCACCATTCAAATTTTCATTCCGATGTTTGTAGTTCTTGCAATTCCACTTAAACTAAGTTTTATGACCGCACTAAAGGGGAGGAACGAAAATTGAAATGGTGCAATTAAAAGCTATCAGTGTCCCCGATACATATAAAAAATTTAGAAAGCCTCTTTCAAATTCCTTTAACTGCATCTTCTTATTATTGTAAGCAAAATGATTTTCAATGACTATTTTGATGTGAATTATGTGCAACTGTTAAATTAGTATTGATAGTCTTTAGATGACTAAGCATTGATTACATGATAAAGTTTAATAATTGTACAATAGCTGAAAAAAAAAAAAACAAGCACTTCTTGTCCATTTAGAGATAAATGACAACTACTAATTAAAATTAGATTATAATATCAATTCTTTTGTATGATTTTCAATATTTTTTTTTTTCTTGTAATCTAACAAGTTTTCTACCACAATCACCTTCTATTTTCAAAATTCAAAGCGTGTCATGTAGACTCTGTTGAAAATTTCTTGCTATAAAATCAGAATAAAGACTCACCTTGCGACTGTCCCTGGTGGATTGTTTATAACGATGCCATCTACATCCTAAAACTCCAGTCATACATACTAAACAATAATTATGACGATAATATTGAAGTTTAGCCTGAGTTACCATTTTCTTCTTCATTATCACAGATTAAGAGTAGTTTTTCACAAGAATATGTTTTATTTACAGGGGAATCTTTTATTTAGGACATGTTTCACACTTTCTCTCACTTGGACCTGAAACAAATAAACACAGAAACTCAGAAATGACTACCACATGAACATGCGACACATTCTTGACCTAAATTCTAGTACCTGTTTACTAGGAGTATTATTAAATCTGATTAACTTTCTAGAATTTCACACATTTAATATCATATAGAGTTTTCATTGTAGATATACCACAAATAAACTCTCAAGTCAACCTTTTTTGAGGGTTTCCCTTTTTGTATGAGGCTTGGATCCCTTACAACTGATACAACAATTTGAACTACTTACTAACACCCATAGGTTTAAATGACATCAGCTGACCACTATTAATAGTAAGAAGGATATAATAACAATACATGTATGTCTAACTCCAATTCGATAATAAGTAATATAAATGGTATAAGTAGACCTAATTAAACCATTCACTATACATGAAAGAAATAGGTAACTGATCTATTTTCTAGGATCATTGTACCTAAACACATCATAGGGCAAGCTCAAAAAGCAACTATCCATGAAGATGAATAGGATACTTCAACATTGTTACTGAGTTTATAAAGAAGTTTTTTCTAGCTTTTTTTTTAAGTGCATTGGGCCATATCTGACCTTTATTTGCAACAAATAATTTCAGTCAGCTGTCTGTCGTTCCCCTAATTATATAGATGTTAAAATGTATATAATTCACTATTAGAAAAACTGCTTCTATAGCTGAGGGCTTAGTTTAAATTTTTGCAAATTTTTTGTAAGATTTTGCAAAACCCACATTTGACTGAAAATTGATATTTGGTGCAAATCAATTTTATCAGTGACTGACTCTGATACACAGAAAAAGAAGAAACCTCATTTAAAATCCCTCTTAGCTTATATATCTTACATCAATGAAATTTACTATCTTTGTTGAAAAATTCAAACAAGTCATATTCTTTACAATCTGCTTGAAATTAGAGTCGGATATAAAAACATCAAAACGAAACTTTTTTCTTTGCCTGCATAAATCAGGTATTTTTTTTCATTCTGTCCAATATCATGAGATTCCTTTGTTAACATAATAAGTTTTGTTAATTTGATATCACTGATGAATAATTGATCAATCTTTAGTTTTTGTTGTTATATCTCTTAGTTTGTCTTTAAAACTATATAAAAGTCACTATCATAATATATCCATAATATGCAGGATCCTTTATTATGAGGTTATGTAGCCAGGATGGTTTCATTCTTTGTATGATTTGCTTGGCTACATCTGACACAAATGGTGGTTGCTGGTTCTAATCCTGTTCAGCATTTTAAAATACAATGGCCTTGAATAAGTTATCTTCACTCATAATCAGTAGAATATTACTACCAATGTAACAAATATTTCCACATAATTCCCCATTTCTTACAAAGAAAGTCCCTCCCTAAAATAGGGTAATTCTTTAGTACAGTGGAGCCTTGTTTAACCAGTTGCTTATACGATGCAAACCCTGATATTCAAACACTTTATACTGGGAACAAATTCTGTAGTAATTAGTATTTTAATTGATAATGATTTACATGTTGTTCAACTAGTTGAGCGAGAGAATATTGCTGGAGAGAAAGTCGAGGAGGAAGAAAAATAAGTATATTTAGCCATTTCCTCAGAGCAATCCAATAGTTTTTATATATGTTATGCTATTAAAATGAAATAAATCATAAATATTAGATTTCCATGCATGTTTATCACCTGTTACGTACCAAACTTGACATTCGACAGGTGTACAAATGGGAGGGGATATATCTCTAATTATAACTGGTATAGCATGTTTCAACTATCCTGAAATTTGTTTAACCACACAATTTTATCAAGAATTGAATTGTGTGGATAAACAAGGTTCCACTGTATCTGATATTATAAATCAATATCATTTTGTAAGATTATTAAGATTATGATACAAGAAGCCTAATAAATCAATGAGTAATTAGGTTATTTGGTACAGAGCTATTGACATTGTAATAAGTCATCTTCTATGATTAATTCAAATCTTCATTACAATGTGATCAATGATAAAGGACAATGTTCAATGAAAATCATACAGAGTGCAGTCAGTCTAAATACTTCTGAGTATGAAGTATACATTACAAGTCAGTTCTAGCTTTAAAAGAAAGCTTGCCAGGCAAGGTTACATACACCCACCTTGTGTTATAAAAATAGCATAAGATAAAATTTGAACTCATTCAAGATTTGACATCTTATTTGATATCAACACAAGTCAAAGTAGTTCATAAAATCTGTTAATCTAACTATTGTAAATTCAAACTCATCAGAGATCTCATTAATCCAAATATATAAGCTTATAAGAAGATTCATACAAAATCAGGAAAAAAATGTATCTCTGCTGTTCTGCTTAAAAGCTAATTTCCATGCATTTTAACTAAATCAAGGAAAATAACCTACAAATAAATCGTAAATGAAGAACTGATTAAGATCTCATTAATCCAAATATATGCATACCGGTACCTTGTTTCATGACAATCATAAAATTCCTTGGAATTAATCATATTATGTTCATAAAATCATCACTTCATTACCAACTTGCCAGTTTATTCCTTGATAGCTAAAGTAGCAGTAACTGGTGATTGAGAGACCATACTTAATAAGTATTTCATTTCAAAATATTACCCTTCTGACCAGTATCACTGACTGAGTTGAGAAAGCTTCTTGGAAAAATCTGAAAGTACTATCTGGACCAGGTCAACCTTAACTGAGAGTACTATGACCAAACCATAGACATACAACATGCCTTAACACAAAAAACCTTTCAGACCCAGTATCAATAATTTCATAATCAGCTGTCTGTCGTTCCCCTAAATATATAGATGTTAAAATGTATATAATTCACTATTGCAAAAACTGCTTCTATAGCTGAGGGCTTAGTTTAAATTTTTGCAGATTTTTTGTAAGATTTTGCAAAACCCACATTTGACTGAAAATTGATATTTGGTGCAAATCAATTTTATCAGTGACTGACTCTGATACACAGAAAAAGAAGAAACCTCATTTAAAATCCCTCTTAGCTTATATATCTCATCTTATTTCTCACTGACTGAGTTGAGAAAGCTTGTTGGAAAAATCTGAAAGTACTATCTGGACCAGGTCAACCTTAACTGAGAGTACTATGACCAAACCATAGACATACAACATGCCTTAACACTAAAAACCTTTCAGACCCAGTATCAATAATTTCATAATCAAAACTTTCCTACTATCAGTGGTAAGAGTTCACTCTTTAAAGGGACAGGAAGGCCATTTTTTTGACCAATCATACTTTAGTCTCAGAGACTGGAATTTTTTAGCTGAGCTAATCAGTAATAGTGTTCACAGCTCACCGCCTTCAAATGTGTGCCCAGAATTATCTGTGTTTGAATGTTAAAATGATGACTGTCAATTAAAGATACTCTGTGATACATAGAAATGACTAAATAGTATAGTGAGTAAAATTCCTAGTTTGTAGTATTCTTAAAGGAATTATGTGCATGTAATGTACATTTTCAGTACCTACTTCTGCAAACTATTTACTACAAATATTCAAGACTAAAATCTTGTTTTACTGACAAATTTTAAATTTCAGCAATTTCTATCAATTTTAATAGGAATCTACATTGCCTACAGAGCTTATCTGTTAAATATGTCACAGTTATGACAGTGCCTTAAAAATGTTTCTAACTATCTGCAATGCAAATATCATTATTATAGGGAATAATGCATTCCACATCAAACATACCAGCTTACTCATTTCTTAGGAGTAGCGTGATACAGTCACTTTGATACTTTAAGTGACAGAGTCGCTAATTTTGGGGTTAAATTAAGGTATTTAAAATAAGTAAAATACTACAAATCTACGAAAATCGCATAATTCCTTTGAAAATACCTCAAACTAGGAATTTCACTGTCTGTTGTAGCTTAGGCCTAGCTAAAAAATTCAGAGATTGGTCAAACAGATAGCAAATCTGTTACCTTAAATAATGATTCAATTTTTATCTTCTTGAATTAAAAGAATCAAAAATTTTTTACACAATGATTAATCACATGTATGTTGTCCTTAAGATGAGGGTTTTTAATACTGATAACCTTATTTTCATTTATGCATCAATTATATGCCACAGCTATTTGTGTATTTTGGTCTTCCATATCTTTGAACTTTATGTCCATATATCAATTAGCTCTTTCATTAGCCAAAATATTATCTTGCATTGTGGATGGAGACACAGTTAGAGTGTGGTTGCTGAATCACAATTTGCCTATCTATCATATTATGATTTCCACAGATGTACAAATAAATCAAACTTCCATGGACACTCACATATATTCTATACCATAATACACCATAATACACAATCAGTCAATTCAAAATTAGTGAAACCTTATTCAAAATCTAATCAAAACGACCACCACTCACCAGTAACTCACTTATTTATTGACAAGAAAAAATGATATTTCCACACACTTTCCGAAAGTACCGGCATAATCATGTTGTTCTATCCTTAATTGACTTTGAATTAGCAGTCGATACATCAGGACATGAAAGAGATTTATTACGTTTCCACTCTCCCCTACATACTACAATCAAATCTTGTTCTACTACCTGTATTCTTTAAATCCTAATAAAATGTCAAATTTCAAAACATAATGTCGGCCATATTGGAATGTTGAAGGGTCAATAGGTCATTTGGTTCGTACAAAACTATTTTGTGCAAATTATTAAAATGAAACGAAAAATATTCAGCTATGATATAAATAACTTCCTTGAGTGGCATTTAATAACTGGGGTATGAATAACTGGACACAATGATAACAATTACTTTATCATTGCTTGATAAAGGCGAAAGCATCATCGTCGAAACGTCGCAAGTTATTTATTAAAGTAATTGTTATCCATTATAATTGTGTCCAGTTATGATATA